GGTCGTTACGTTTATTTTTATGGCAACACCGTTTCAGTGTGCACTTGCGATGTTTTATTTACAATTGTAAAGGAAACCGCTTCAAATTGTTGGAGCAATATTGCTATATTGGAAAAACGGTGACGTCACAGCATTGCAAAGAAATTATAAACTATTGAATGGGTTTATTTATTACTAGCGACCGCCCGCGACTTCGTACGCGTGGATCCCGTTTTACCTTCGTTGGGGTAGAATTTTGCAAAATCCCGTCTTAGTGAGCACCTACGTTCTAAAAGGAACCCCCATGCAAAATCTAAGACTTCTAGCACTTGTAGTTTCTGAGATTTCGTGATGAGTGAGTCAGTCAATCAATGACCTTTCGCTTTTATAGATATACAGTGTGAGTCACGTTAAAGTGTACATATGAAAATAGATGAAACTAGACCTATTTTTATCGACAAAAAAGAGGTCAAAAATTTTTTGAGATTTTTTTTAAATTTTTTATAGAATTTTTTTTCTTCCAATTACTTATTGTAAAGAAAACGTAATAACTTTTAAACTAAGCGGTATATCCTGATAAAATAAAAACAGTAATAATGCTAAATAATAGGCAATACTAAAACAATACAAAAAATACACAAAAAATGCAAAAAAATAATAAAAAATTATGCTTTTTGAAAAAAAAACTGCTTAAACATTCGTATTTTTTTGGTTATTTGATAAATTTCTCCAAAAAATGCCCCTATAACAGATGGTTTTTATTACTTTTTATTATTCTCTATCGTATTACTTTTGTAAAACCAAAAATCACATGGTCTCTATCCTTATCACAACATTTGCTATGATCGTTTGAACAAAGGCCTGCCACCACATTTTTCTCCGCTACAGGTAGAGACAATTTTAATTTTAACTTAAATGCTTATTTTATATGCTCATATGCTCAGCAGGACGAAGTCTGTTTTAGAAATAAGATACTAACATAGCCTAAGTTTTTTACTAACATTATGGATCCCTGTTATCCGAAATAAATACTTTTTATTTTTATTTTTATTTTATTTATTTATTTATTTTACTTCGAAATCTTTTGTTTTTATTTGAAATCTAACTTGTCTTTATCAAAATTACAAATCTAGAGCCATTTTCAGTTTCGTTGTTAACGAAGCGTTGAATGGCGCGCCCGGAGAGGCTTAGTTCAAACGATCATTGCAAACGTTGTGATAGAGATAGAGACATGCTATTTTTGGTTTTACAAAAGTAATACGATAGAGAATAATAAAAAGTAATAAAAACCACCTGTTATAGGGGCATTTTTTGGAGAAATTTATCAAATAACCAAAAAAATACGAATTTTTAAGCAATTTTTTTTCAAAAAGTATCATTTTTTATTATTTTTTTGGCATTTTCTAGGTATTTCATGTATTTTTTTAGTATCGCCTGTTATTTTGCGTTATTACTGTTTTTATTTTATCAGGATATACCGCTTAGTTTAAAAGTTATTACGTTTTCTTTACAATAAGTAATTGGAAGAAAAAAAATTCTATAAAAAATTAAAAAAAAATCTCAAAAAATTTTTGACCTCTTTTTTATCGATAAAAATAGGTCTACTTTTATATATTTTCATATGTACACTTTAACGTGACTCACACTGTATATGATTTTGGTCTTCTCTCCAATAGACTTTAGCAGAAATTATGTAGTCCACTTTATTCATATGTTGAACACATTAAATTTAGATAATAAAGTTCGTTCGTTTCAGCCAAATGACGTCCACTGCTGGATTAAGGCCTTCCCCAAGGATTTCATAACGACCGGTGTTGCTCTGCCCGCATCCAGGTACCTTCTCCAGATGATAAAGTGAAATAATAAAATTTTGTTAAACGTTAAAACTACATAGTTAATAATTATCCAAATGAATATTGTAAACCATAGAAAGAAGAGCGAGATAATAATACCTAATAATAATAATAATCCAGCATGTGCACCACTTTCACTTTTGTCGATTATTTTACGCTTAAAACGGCCTCTACGTGTTGGATCTGTATCCCCACGCAAGCCTTTTAAAGGACCGGGCCACTTTTGACCCGTGAGCTCCAAAGCGTACAAATAATAATAATAATAAGAGATGGCAATGATGACTGAGAAACTGAGATTCTACAACTGGCTCTTTTTCCCAAAGCTAAAACCCAGTCCTATAATATTTATTGAAAATAAAATCCAGTAATATTTTTCAAACGTAGGTATAAGTTTCCGAAAATATATCTATCTTCGAAACTTATAAACAAATACACTCGCGAAAGCTCGAATAGGATTGTATAGAATTCTACGTCCCAATAAATAAGCAATATGTACCTACTTTAAAAGCGCCATTGTCGCTTTTATGGTCCATACGGATGTTTTGTGTGACACTTGTAAAAGTAACGGCTGTATTTTTCAATGCAGTAAGTGCTGAAAGGAATTCATTTGAGCTCTCCTTGTGTTTGAAATTGTTATTGGTTTGCACTATGTCAGTTGTATGTATCGTGTGCCCATACAGGGTGTCCCAATAACAATGGATAACCTTTTAACAAAGTCAAATTCAAATATTTTATTCAGTACATAGGCCCTTTCCAGGGCACTTATAAACGTCCCAAATATAGCTTGCCCTACCACCACTTCGGGGCAACAATGGGCTGGTGCTGAGAAGAAGTGGCGGAAGAAACTCAGTCACCTTTGTCAGCATCTTTTTCAATAAAATAACAGTGATAACCATTGATAAGCCGCACTATAGTCTGTCTAATATTTCCTTTTCTTCTTTTTATAATGCTTTTGAACTTGTGTGTTGAATTTCATGAAAAAAAATTACGACAGGTGGGCTTTTTTAAAAAAAATCTTGAAAACTTTGACATTTGTAACGTTTAATTCTAAGAAATATTCGATTTCAGAACGTTCCACCCAACCAGATTAAAAAAAAAGTCTTGAGCGTCTCACTTTTGAACATACCCTCAGATTTTCAGTTCAAGAATCCAACCTCTGACCAAAGACTTAATGAGTTGATCAACTGCCAGATTAACACGTTCACCGTTCACGACCCTCATCTGGTAACATAGTAGCGACATAAGAGTTCCTAGTAACATAGTAGTTACATATAAGTTTTATAGCGGCCATACAAGCTGGTCGCGATCCCGTTACTTCTTTACAGTCGTGAGTACAGCAATGTAAGTACAATGTGTGAGATTATTTGAAGGATCTAGAAAGAAGTAAGTATATTTTCTTGGGAGCAGCTTAAGGTTTTATAAGAAGCTTTGGGATTTCAAAAAGAATCGAAAATTGAGGAATGCTTCAAAGCTTTGGTCATTAACGTGTCACGTGCCTCTGAATAAATTTTAATTAAAGATATGGATAGATAACTTGTTAAAAAGGTACATGCAACCTTTTGTTGTGAACAACAGTCTGCTCGTTTGCCTCCTGTCACATAAAAAAAGAGAACAAGAAAGAGTTAAATACGCACGCACCATATAGTTTTCTTAAGTTGGGATACGAAGAGTCATTATTAATTATGCTAACGAAAGAGACAAGAAAAATATGGACACGACAGAAGATATGCTGATAATGAGAAATGAATCCAACAAAGTATTATCAATATTNTACAAGCCTATTGCGATTGACAGCTCATAAAAAAAATACCACTCCTATGCGTAGTGTAACGGTAAGCGTTACCGCTGACCTTTATCTTAGATCTAAATTCTATTCAGCGGTAACGCTAACCGTTACAGTAGCGCAGTTGGGTAAAAAGTATGAAATGGGTCTACTCTACGCTGAAAGCCTAAAACTTGCGCGTTTGCCCGCTCTGAACGGCCTGCGCTTTGCGGCGGATATCAGCTACGTGCGCGCGTCTTTGTGGCTCATGGCGTGCGTATGACCCCCGCTGTGAGTGTAGAAACCTATCTTGCTCATGCTTAATATTCTTATTCGCACTCGCGCGAGCGTGCGCGGCCCTAACGTATGCTATTTCTGTCACACACGTAACCTTTCTATCCATTCCAGCTGGAGCCTGCTCTCGGAGTCTCCTCGCTCGGGCCTAGCAGTCCTGGACGTGGGGATCCCGACAGGCTACATGATCCAGCAGCAGCGGCTGGACGCCTACGTGCTGTCGCGGCGCGTGCGCACGCTGCAGCGCGCCAAGTACACGCCCTCCAAGCTCACCTTCTACTTCCACTACGTGAGTACACGCGCCCGAGGCCTAGACGGCGGATGACGCGGGAGCCCCACAGGCCACATGACCCAGCAGCAGCGGCTGGACGCCTACGTGCTGTCGCGGCCAAGTACACGCCCTCCAAGCTCACCTTCTACTTCCACTACGTGAGTACACGCGCCCGAGGCCTGGACGGGCGGATGACGCGGGAGCCCCACAGGCCACATGATCCAGCAGCAGTGACCTAGGGCTGCCCTGCTCGGTACTCTGATACCGCAGATACATCTACTCGGACGGTGAATATGTCAGACTGGCCGACTCGTATTTCAGGGAACGCGAGTTCATTCCCGCACCGCTCAACATGATCTGGCGCGTTCAACGCTCAATATGAATCAGAGGCTCGCTGCAACTGTAGATTCGTGGCTGTTTTTATTTTTATTGCACTTTAGTACGTCTGACCAAGTAATACGAAAGGATTACTAATGTTTGGCCAAAAAACGTTTCCCAAATTATCACATGGCAAACAACGTTTCGCAAATTTTCATTTGGCAAATTCTCATTTGGCAAAACAACTTATTGCAAACTTTTAATTCGCAAATGTCTTTTTTGGCATATTATTGTTTAGCAAATTATTGTTTGGCAAAGTATGTTTTGCCAAATGTTTCATTTGGCAAAAATATTTCACGATAAACTATTTACAAAATAATTTGATTGGTGCATAGAATGGAATACAAATTAGCTTGTGGTTATTATTTTGTTTAGTGGGTAGTTAATATAAAATTTGTTCTAAATTTATTTTCATATTTCATTATTTTTATCGAAACTAAATGATTAATTAACAATAGAGGTGATTCTAGCGCTCGGCGGCCGCTGCCGCGGCACGCTTCGCTCGCCTTCGCGCGTTAAGGGTCACTGTTCTAACCTAACCTAACCTACTATTTTCTGCAAAACCTACTTTCGCATCCATACTATTTTCTGCAATCTCTTTGTTTTACATAAAATTCTTGTGAAAACCATGATCATTTGCCTTGTGCTTTGATTTGTGGGTAACGGTGGGTAAGCATGTGAAGTGTCAATTTGACCAAATAAATTATTTGGGATATAATATTTGGCAAAATAAAACATTTGCTATATAAACATTTGCCAAGTAAAATTTGACCAAATGATAATTTGACCAAATGAAATAGTTGCGAAAAGTACATTTGCTAAAAGTTCATTTGGGAAATGAAACTTTGGCGATAAGTTGTTTGCGAAGTGAAATTTGGCGAAAAGTAATTTGGCCAAACGGAAGGATACCAATACGAAAGTACCCTCTAAAAACGGTAGCAATTCCTATAGGACGTGCGTCTGAGTTTCAGTATCATTGAAAACGTGAAACTGCACTATAATATGAAAAAATACATCATTACATACACGCTTTTTGTTGTGTTTTTACCCAAGCTAACTAACACGCTTATGCGTCCCACAGCTGGACCACGAGCCGACGTGCGTAAACTACACTATCGAGCGCTGGTACCCGGTGGCCAACATGTCCAGATATCTACCCGTGCGGGTCTACGACTATTACGCGCCTGGTAAGTTTACTTTATTTATTTATTTGGAAACTCAACAGCTTTGTCGACAAATTACATGTTATAGAGCTAATATAAGTGTATAGGAACAGCAGAATAAAATGATCTTATTTGTAATTTTAGGTACCAAAAACAGTATTAAGAATTGGTCCAAAAATAAAAAATATTGCAAACAAATCATAAAATCAAGATGTGTTAGTTGGCGCTTGGCGAAGAGATAGCTTTCATTTATTTTCCTAATGATATTGTTACGTCATGATAACATCAAACAGAAACATTTTTGTTTACAATCCCCATAGTACAAACACTCAAAGTAGCTTAAAAGTTCGCAACTCGTCTTTGTTACAATTTGAATAAGGTTGTCATCTTTTTGGCCAGTTTGGGTCTCACGAACTATTTCACGCTGACTGTACTATCGTATGTGTTTATTAAAGTTCTGAACCTATCCCGCAGAGCGGTACAACGAGTCGATATTCGATGCGCTGCCGACGTACCTACTTAACATCTGCGAGGTGTGCGGCTCCTCACAGTGCCCCTACTGCGCCATCTACAACGCGGCGGCGCGCGCCTCGTCCGCTGTCCTACTAGCATCCACCGCCGTCGTCGCCTGCCTCGTAACGAGAGCGTTGGCCGCGCCCTAGCACACAAACAGAACTCGACAACAGCGGGGCTACTCCCAAAAACGTTATCCAATTTCGAATGCTGCCTTCCCTCGCACGTGATGAAATGCCAGCATGAGCGACAGTGACAGATAGATCTGAAACTACGTAAACAGCGATGGAGTAGCCCTGCAAATGTAATACGACCGAAACTTTTAATGCTAAACGGAACATACTCCACCTGCGGTCCGGTATGAATACAGGTTTTCTGTTGACAGTTTTACACCTAAGTAATTTTATAGATGGCTCGAGCTAAAACCTGTGTAGACCTATTAAATGTCACTGCTTTAAAAAGCATCAAAACTACTGTGTACATCCTCTGGTATTGTTGTCAGAAGCGGTAAGTGTAACCAATTATAACAACTGCCGTTAATGATTGCCACACCATAGCCGGTGGTTTTAAGGTTCAGCCAAACACCAACGCGATAACACGCGATCAGCCGACTAATCGCGTTGGTATGGCTGAACCCTTAGTAAACACCACGCTTATTCGACATCACCTTACTAAACCTTGCGGTAAACAATATAATATGTAATCATGTCTAGTTTCATTTCGCGAAGGCGAGTGGGCTCTACGCATGTTTTAAGAGTATGCTGATATGAGATGATCGATCTTAAAAATGGCAGCCCAAAATATTTCGCGTAAACTGTATGTCACGCGCAACTAGATTGGAAAATTGATATTTTTACAAATTCTTGAAGAACTTGAAGAAATTAGATAATATTAACGCGTACAATACTATCGATTGTATTCGTAACCAGTGATACTAAAATCTGCATAAAATTCTTATTAGAAATTAAGGACTAATCGTGAAAACTGTGTGACAATTTGTTATTTACCTAATTATCTGCGATAAATTATTATTTGTGTTTCATTGGAACTTTCCAAATTATTTTTAATTTTAGTATTTCACGCCACATCTGGCCTAAATGTATTAATATTTAGTATGTTGGTATATTGTAATAATATTTCTGTTATTAACCACCGTTTAAGATTTAGTTTATTGAATCAAAATTGCTAAAAACTTCCATGTGTAGCATTTAATATTGTTGTAATAGTAAATATATTTTTGTTGTGCTGGACATTAACAATACTTGCTGTATGTAGTGAATGCTTGTTACCAGTTGCAGCTCTGAAGTAATCTCATTGCAATTAAAGAATCTTATTTTCTTCTCTGTTATCTACCTTTTCTGCTGTATCAGGTGATTATTCCTTATTCCATTCCAAACTAGTAGTAGTGTTAGATGTTAAGTAGTGTTCAGTCTAGATTTATTTTCCATTTTGTTTTGTACAAAACCTGATACTTCTATCAAGTATTCTATAGATTCTTCTGTGAAATTTACCCTAAAATTATGTACCATTTACAAACAAAACTTCCATCTTTTGCATAGTCGGTGCTCTGAACATTTCAGCTTGCTTATCCACATAATAATAATCGGCAGCTACATATCAATATTTGAAATCTAAATTTTAATCATTTAATGTAAAAGCATTTGATGCAGACAAAAGAAATTACATGAAGTTATACCCATGATGCAATAAATCAGTTGAAAGTAGTCAATATTTTTTATGTAAATATTTTGGATATTGAGTAAAGATAGTGTAAGTGAAACTTAATTATGAAATGTGAATTATATTTTTAGTAAAATGACAAAAAATCATACCAAAATTAAATATCACAAAATATCAAATGCCTTACTAGCATAACAATGGAATTGAGTATGATTATATTCTAAAATTTAAAATAGTGGAATCAAAACATATTTCACAAGATTTATTTAAGTAGTGTATAAGAAATGTATTTTATTTTGTATCAATTGATATTTATTACTTTATCATTTTTGCATGCAGTGCTACGAGGAATGATATTTGACAATATATTTTTATCATTATATTAAATGGCTGAATGTACCATTATGTACAAATGTGCCCGTCCAAAATTCAATAACTTATCATGATAGAATTAAAGAAGTCTATAAACTTGGAGAGATAGTATTTTAAGGTCATAGATGTGTAAAAAACATGTTACTTAAGTAGTTTCCGTCCAAAATTACCCATGACTGATTTCTTTTTTACTTTTGTATGTATTTGAGTGTAATATTTTTTCTTAAGTTGTTACACAAACCAAGTTAATGTAATTTTGGTGAAATCTCATTATTGACATTTACATAGATTTATTTCTAAATAAAAAACTTAAAAGTATTCATTGTTTCATTGCAAATACCCATATTCTTTCTTACAACTCAGTTGCAGTAGGTATTCCTGAGAAATATTATTCATAGGTTAACAAACAAACATAAATTCAAATCAAATAATTTATTTCACAATAACTTATTCACTATACCTACTACAGAAGTGTGATTAAAATTACTAAGAAAACATAATACATTACTGTCTCTTCTTAACCTGCTTTGCCTTAGCATTGGAGGCTTTTGCTGTGGATCCTCCACTGAACAGTGACGTGAACATCTCCGACATCTCTGGCATTTCACCCATTTTCGCCAAGTTGCTTATCTGCTTCAAGTCCTCTTTGGTTTCTGGGTCGTTCATCATCTTGGGCAAGATCATAATCAGCAGCAGAGGCAGCACCATCATGATCACCATGGGGTTGAATAAGAAATCTGTCAGTCGCCATTGTTCCCTCATTTGGAAGTATCGGAAACGAGACAATGGCTTCATCCGCAGAGGGTATGGTACTTGAATCACCTGAGATGTTTGTATGAAGTTGACTTTCCTAGCCCTGTATTTGCCCTTGGAGTTGATTTCTACTCGGACAGGCTCATACATGTAATCTGGATGGACTATTTCTACCACATAGGAGCCTGATGGTACATTGTGAATGACGAACGTGCCATCATCCCTGATGAAAGCAATGTACTCCCCACCGTTTACGTGCACCCTTGTGTCCACCTGCCAATTGCTTGAGTCTTGATCATCAGGTGGAAATACTCTTCCTTCAATGACATATCGACCATTTCCAGTGTCTTCCTCAACAGAGTTTGTGACGCAGTTAACGTAGCCTGCTAGCGTTATAGCTAACACACAGAGAGCGATAGGCTTCATAATATTGTTATTTTAATACTGCTAATTGAAACCAGCTTCTTAATACTTTAGGATTAATAAAATATTCGGTATTTTGAGAAAATTTCTAAATGTTCGTGTTCGTGACAATTATTTGACAATGACATGACATTGACAAAAACCAGCTGTAATAGTGCTGTCCACAGAATTGTGTTTTAGAATACTAGGTGGGGTTTATTGATAAATACCTAATACTAAGTTAAACGATACTCATACGAGATTTTTTCTTTATGTTACTTAATTTAAGAATAAAGAATGCACTATAATTCTATAATGAGGAACATAAAATGATACTGATTTGAATTCACAGCAAGTAATCTTTGAATAACTACTTTTTTATCATTTTAAATCTAACTACTCTACGGAGCTAGTATAGATATCACATTCTGGAATTGTTTTTAGACAGACATAGACAATAAAGAAAAACCGGTTTTTAGTTTGTCAAATATCGATTTTCAAATTTACCCAACGTCTGTCAGTCAAATTGTTATTTGTCTATGTTTTTTTTGTAAACAAATTGTTTCAGCGACATGTGGTCGTGGTGTAGCGATTAATTTGATTTCATGTTATTTATTTGTATAAATCGTGATAAGAAACAAGACAGACAATGTCTGGATACCTGGAAGTGAAATATCCTTTCAAGTCAAACCTGGGTTTGAATCCTTTCAAGGTGAGTTTCGTTTTGGTTTGGAGCATTGTTTGTGATCATAACACGGTGAAACGGTTTGTTTATTGTGCTTCGGCAGTCGTGGAAGAGACAATGGTGCATTCTGAGGCCGAGTCCGAGTTGTTCGGGTGGCGGGTCGCTGGCGGTGTACTGCAGCGAAGCGGGCGCGGCTGCGGGTTCGGTGGAGCTGCCTCCTGGCTGCGTGGTGCGGCGCGCGAAGTCCCGCTCGCGGCCGCACGCCTTCGCAGTGTTCGCGGAAGGCGAGCCACGCAAGCCTCGCATCCTGCTGGCGGCGCCAACGCTCGCTGATGCCCAGGCGTGGATGGAGAAGATCAAGGATTTGTTGAACAGCAGCAAGCTACGCGGTGAGTCTACCTTCAATTTGTTTCATTTGTCTACCTTTCATTCAAGTTCTCATCAAGTCTAATTAATTCCATTGCTGTAATGTTCGTGAAAATTCAAATTAAATTAGATGTAGGTATTCAATGAATTCAATTGAAAATACTATCTTCAAAATACTCAAAGCGTGTGGTATGCTTGTCACAGTAATCCTTGATGTTGGTATTGTGGATTTGAACTTAAGAGTTCCTAGTTCGTCATATCATATTGAAGTCACTGTAAATAATTTATTGACATTCTAAATATTTTTTACGAGTTTAATGTTCCTTTAGGTGTCTAACATTCCATGCTCTATTTATTTGTCCATGGCCTAAATGTTCAGTAGGACTTGACGTCAACCCATTGAATGCAAATGCACATACATTTAAATGTGTAATCATCCATGGCTCACTGCATGGCATCCAAGGTGTCACTATTGTGTTCATGCTGATTGTAGCCTTTGTGCAGGTTAATGCACCTAAAAATATTTTTAATTACTTTGCATTAATATGCAATGTTAATTTATGTTAAATATTCCATTTAGAATAATCAATCCTATTAGGACCAAATTCAAAGTAAATAAAACTAGACCAACCAAAATAAGTTTTTTCTTTGCAGTCACTACAATGCAGTGACTTGTTATTTTAAACTGTATTATTATGCTGACAGAAAACCTTATTACTAAATGATGCGATCAAGTAGCAACATAGTAAAATTTCAAGGGTTTAATATTGCATAGATATAATTACCTCACTTAAATCCAGCTAGTTTTCCCTGTTGTTTCATAAGTTGAAATACCAGTTCCTGCTCATATGTTTTTTTTTACCAAAACCTGCAATCATCATGAACAGTTAGGTCATCTGTTGTTACATCATTAATTGTTCACATTTCCATACTAAATTATATTGTCTTTAACATTCATTACTGCAATCTAATTTCAATGTACCATTGAATGTTCTTTTGTATTGCACTGACAATATCACTCACGTATACAAAAGTGCATTCTAATCATGCTTTATCATCGCCCCATATTGCAGGCACTGAGACATTGCTCAAAGACTCCTACTCGGTGACCGTTGTCACGACCGAGTTGTCTCGCAAGTGTGGGATGACCGCTGACAGCCTGCTGAGACTGTCGTCTAGCGGCCTCCTAGTATCCTGTACCCAGAAGCTTGGCTCGGTTATAGAGTGGAAACACATAAGTGATGCGCAGCTGGTCACTGAGGCTGCCGATAAGAGCCAAGTGTGCATTGTCACGGTGGATAGGTTTGTTCATTTTGACTAAGCACATTTTGCTGCTAGACACTGAGTTTTCGGCATTGCAACATTGCTTCACCTTCAAATAATTAAATATCTATTAAGACAACAGAATACTATACCAGTAAAGGTGACTATCTTTTCGAATATTATAGTGTACAGTTATATTAATTTAAAAACTTGGTTGTGGTGATTCTAATACTGAAACAAAAGATATATTCCTAACCAGGGTCTCAGGTTTAATCATGTATAAAATTTCGTTTTCTACTAATATTAAAGCATAATCACAGCACGCTTCCTGTTTTCCACTTGTCCACAAATCACGGATTTGGCGCATGTATGTGAATCACTCGTTTTTTCTTAGCATTCTGTTCATGCATGCTAAAAATACTTTTGTTGGTTCAGTGAGCTTGCAGACACAGTTACTTACTGGTACATATTGCATTTTACTTTGTCTTGTTTTATATTTTGGTGTCAGATTTTATTATAAAAATACAGCCTGTGTTGGTGTGGCTCTAAGTGATCAACAAAAACGATGTTGTTTTATGCTCAAAGCAAAGGCGATTTTTTCTTATACATAACTGTGGAAAAAATCTGTGGGTTTATTTTATTTTCTTCTGCATGCATTGAGTGTATAAGGTATGTTCACATTGTTATGAGGCGTGCACGGAGTATGCGAGACAGCCAAAAAGCCCAAGCGGATTTGAAGTTATTGAAGTGAGTTAAAAATCGGATTCGTTGTTCGTGAACAAACAACATTGCTCGCGTTCGTTCGCAGACATTCACCGAGCTCTCATCCGTGCATCTTACGTAAGCCTACCTATTTCCAAATTTCAAATTTAATTCTAGTTTATCAATGAAATATCATTTTCCAATTAGGCAGGCTCTATCTGTATAAGCACTGCTCGATCTGGCGTTATACACAAACTCAACACAACGCATTTAGTAAATCTACGTTGGTATAGTTCGTTTCATCCACGAAGACGAGCGGGGTCGAGGGAAGCGGGGGGTGCGGGGAGTTTGATCCGACCAATCCGAGCGTCATTGTTGGCATTGGCAGCGTTGCAATTGGATAGTTGTCCGTGAGTGCGCGCGCAAGCTACAATGTTGACGCTCGGGCAGGGTACTCACATGCCATGTAGCACGTAACGTAGCATGTAACGTAACCAACCATCAAGTGAGTACGGCTCGTCCACGGTCATCGCGTATCTGGCTGCGAGCTCCTGGATCCTACTGCGAGCCGCTTTTGTGCTCGCAGTGATACCGCCACTCGGCGGGTCGCTACGATCTCCCTGCGAACCACGCGCGAGCAGCTCGCAGCGGGCTCGTGCCTACGTACTCACTTGATACAGTATCTGATACATTACAGGCTACACGGCTAGATGAGTACCCTGCATTGGATTGGTCGGATCATGCTCCCCGCACCCCGCGTGACTTCGACCCCGCGCGTCTTCGTGGATGAAACGAACTATACGTACTCTCTCATTCTAATTCAAGTCATAATGCCGATCAACCGCTCGCTTCCAGTGAATACCAAAGCGGCGGCGGCCAGCTTAAGTTCGCGAGCCCTCTGGCGACGGAGCTGGCTTCAGCGTTAACGCGGGCGCTGCGGGAGCACCGGGCGAAAGCCGCCAAGCTCAGCCGCAGCGAGGGCGATCTGCGGTCTTCGATGAGCAGCGACTCTGACACAGGTATGCCCGTAGACCTAACTATACCAAGAACTTATTACACGACTTAATTCCTATTCCACCAGCCCCCTTCCATTACCGAGGAACCAGACGCAGGTTAGCGTACCATGCCTACATTGCTGACATTCCACCAGCTCGCATTAAGCGTTTCGATAACTCTCTCTATTATAATGCGAACACCTAGGGACTGGAACTTCCTGAACACTATAATCCGGGCAGATATGTACCATCCTAGACTGCATCTCACTTACGGACGCTAAATTATATAGATCCTGGCTGCACAGCAGTTGCAGTGTTGGAAAAGAGAGATGTTATTAGTCCCATTTAGGGTTGCCAGGTCCAAAAACACAAAAGCCGGACTATGTGCTTCATTTGGCCGGACTTTTTACCCTAAAAGCCGGACATGCGACGACATGCAATTAGTGAGCTCACGAGTGAGTACTATCATCATCGGTTGCCTAACGTCCTGATGCATGCGTGCCTTATTTTGTGGCTCGACTTTCGCCTGGCGCGGCAGTCAAATAAAAAGCCGGACATCGGTTATTTTGGCCGGACACGCAATCAAAAAGCCTAACTATACTTAGGCTTTATCCGGACGCCTGGCAACCCTAGTCCCATTCATACCTTGTTCGGCTTTCCCGAAAATGCGTCGCCATTTATTTCTTTTTCGCACGTCTTATTCGTGGAGCCATCAGTCATCTAGAGTCCCAATCATAAATAATTTGGAATTATTTTTGGATGAAGACATTGTGGATTATTTTTAGGTGAAATCCGCCGGAGTAGCTGGTACAGCGGTCCGTCTGAAGTTTCCTTGGATGACATCGATCTTATAATGTCAAAGGTGGGACCATGATTTTGTTTATGGGTTAATTACTTAATTTAATGCTTTAACAACTAAGTTTTAAAGTTCGTTTTCGCGTGGCAGGAGGCGGCGCGAATGCCGCGCGGACAGCTGGCGCGCTGCGCCGGCGCACCGCATCTGGCGCCTGCCCGTGACGATAGGTGAGCCTTGACATTACTATGAGGTTTCACAGTGCGCGTAGACGCACAGGGTGACAAATAAACCGATCACAGAGCTTTATTCAATCTCGTTTGATTTGCTGCTTCACTTAAACAAGTATCGTTTGTGAATACGGGCGTAAATCTCTGCTACTAACAATCTAATAACAACATTCGGGGCTTCGATGTTAGCGGCGGGTTATATCGGTGCAGTTTTAGCTTTCATTCGTTGAAGTGAAACAGTTCTAATTAAAAAATATAACACTATCACTTATTTTTATAGCTTTTTTTAGTCTTATTTTACACGTTATAATACGAGTCATCAACTTACAATATTGCAAATATTGGATATTCTAAAAAAATATATTGGAAGAATAAAAGTTTATATGAGGTTAAAATGTTAGATGTTAAAATCTGTTGTTGCATTTATAAAAATATTATTACTACATATTAGTTGCTTTTTTTTACATAGGAAGTTTGGTAAAAGTAATATTAGCTTGTGATAAAGATGTGAAATATCTTCACCCAATATTCACACCCACCAATATTTAATCCCAGCATGTGCGACCGCCGCTCGCTGGTATCCATAGCGTCGGGCATCTACGAGGAGATCCCCGACCTGCCCACCGAGGCCGGCGAGTCCACAGAAGTGACCAGAGAGTCCACAGAAGTGACCAGAGAGTCCACGGAAGTGACCAGAGAGCCTACCGAAGTGACCACTGAGGCTAATGAAGTGACCAGCTCGCCTGAAGCTTCGGACGTGTATTGCGCGATGGGTCGCGACGTGGTGGACGCGCCTCGCCGCATGCTCAGCGCCGCGACTATTGCAGCTGTGGTAAGTCTTTGTTCACTATTTGTTGGGGAAGTTGTTGATTTCCTTGTAGTAAATTCCTAAAAAGGTTTTTTTTTGTAAAAATTGTTATGAACATCACACAACATTACAGATGTGTGTAACGTTGTGGCGGCACTATTCTTATGGGAATTCATGATTTTATCTTCCTGACAGTACAATGTACTAAAAGGAACCTTGAGAGAACGAGGAGGCTCAATTTTTATCACACATCGCTCATTGACAGAGTATATTATTGGCAGTAACAGCTTGGAGTTACGCCTATGGCTGCAGTTTCCTATACTTGCTATGAATACCTATTACATTTAGCACAGTAGCCGAAAATCATATATTTATTAAACCTTTAACCTTTATCTCCTGTTATCCGCTGGAGGTAAATTGAACTTTAACTTTGAACTCCTCCTATGTTCTTCTGATTAATTTCGTTGCGGGTCCAATGACAGTTTAACTTTCCCCCGGGACAAACTTGACCTTCATTGGTTGGGTTTTTGTGGCGGTCAAGCTGTAGATCCTGGCTACACAGGAGTTGCAGTGGTGGGAACGAGAGGTGGGAATATTCCCGTAACACCTTTGTATGGTTGTTGGTTGGTTTGGTTGGTTGGTATGAACATCGACGATTTTGTGAAGGTCGCGGGAGGTGCCTGGATGCGAGCGGCGCAGGACCAGTCTTCGTGGAAATCCTTGGGGGATGTCTTTGTCCAGCAGTGGACGTTTTTCGGCTAAAACGAACGAACCAACGAACCTTTGTATGGATATCTATAGCAGCGGTTCCCGAATGGTGGTCCGCGGAACCCTGGGGTTCCGTGGAAAGGCCGCAAGGGTTCCGTAAAAAATATTATCCCACGTTTCGTGACCGACATTGTTCGCTCGCACCGACTTGTTTGCGTACAGGGGTTCCGCTAGGAAAAGTATAATCAATTAGGGTGCCTTGGCAAAAAAAAATTGGGAAACCCTGATCTATAGTTTGGTCTGCGAGCACGTAGAATTTTGTCCAATGACCCCAAGCTACCCATCCTTATCGCTCGCGCGTAATTATGTTGCTGTTGCGCTCGCACACTCGCTGCGGGCGCCCGTCGCACAGTCGCGACAGCAATATAATTACGCGCGAGCGATAAGGATGGGTAGCTAGGGGTCATTGGACAAAATTCTACGTGCTCACGGACCAGGCTTTATATTGATTTAAAATGTGAGTTAAAGTTATGAATGACTGTATGCAGGTGGCGGAGGAGCCGACGTACGAGTCGGTGGTGGAGTGCGTGTACGCCACCATGCGCCGGCCGCGCCGCCCGCCGCCGCCGCTGCCGCCGCGCGCGCCGCTCGGGTCAGTCCCGCTGGCTTTTACCAGAGTAAATACAAATGAGTAGGTCATCTTCGTAGAAACGCACCGAGCGCGGTTTGTATGTGAGCGCGCCAATGCGGCGTGCACGCACACACTGACAAAATTAGGCGCAACTCCCCGCTTAACCCCGCTAAATTTTATCAGTGTGTGCGTGCGCGCCGCATACGTATTGACGCGCTCACATACAAACCGCGCTCGGTGCGTTTCTATAAGTATATCTAAGTATTCTATAAATATACTCATTTGTATTTCTCTCTCTGCTTTTACTTATTTACAATAAGAACTATAGCATTGGTTCCCAAACTTATTTCAGACGCGCCCCCTTTCGTACATACAAANTATTTATTATTATTGGGCGTATCGAGCAGTCTGGAATGCATTCTCTCAGCGGTCGCAGGTTTATTATACTTAAATACACAGATGGCTCGCGCCCCCCTTTAAAGGTCTTTGCGCCTCCCCTGAGGCCTGTTAAGTCACTGTCACTTGTAGTGGCGAAGACTGGACCAACTGGTGAGCGCTGAAGCAATAGGAGGCATCGCATTTGCACTCACAAGGATTGCGGTACTGTAGTGTATGTCAATCGCCAGTGGTACCAACTTAATGTGAAAACGATAGTCTTCATAAAGTAGTCTAGTGTAATGGTGAGAGAACCCTACTGAGGGCCAAGAAGTGAAGCTGCGGCCCGTTTGTGTCGGGGGTACTTCACACGTGAACGATACATCTACTCGTATGCTGCTCCACACTCGAATGTAGAAAGTTGTTTATAATATTTTAGCAGTACCAAACATCGATTTAAAAATCCTTTTTTAATTAGAATTTATTCATAAATATAAAAATCGCAAAAAATAGCAGATAAAACCAAAACCTAAAACCTGTTCCCCCCAGGACAAGCAAACTGGGATCATCCTGGAACTGCCGCATGGGCGCGGCGGACGCGGTGACGCGCCACGGCTCCCTGGGTTCGCTTCCCATCGGGTGCGCGCATACAAACACCGCTGCCGAGTGTAATACTCGCACCCTGCCTAAACCTGACAAGAGCAAGCAGGCTTTCAGCGTGTTCAGGTTAGTTCTAAAACCATAATCTAAAACTTATCCCCCTAGTAGAAGCAAACGCCGTGGTTGGCCTAAGCAAACTTGGCAACGCACTGTAGCAGACGATACGAAGAAAATCGGCACGACCTACAGCGAGATCAAACGCGAAGCTTAATACCAAACGCGATGGTGACTGTCGTGGACGCCTTCGGCCCCATGTATGGGTCATAGGACCTTAAGTAAGTCACAAGCTAACTAGGGTCATCCTGGACTGCCGAATGGGCGCACACTAACCCTGTGGATTGTAATACTCGCACCCTGCCCAAGCCAGACAAAAGCAAGCAGGCCTTCAGCGTATTTAGGTAAGTTCGAAATAGAGCTACAGAAATCATTTTTGTAGTGTAATTTGTTGATGACAATGATTTACTCCCCGTTGATTTTGATTTCATTTATGAAAGATGAACTGTAAGTATTTTTAGCTATTAGCTATGTTTTACGAAATCAAGAAAATACATAAATTTGAACATGGTAAGTCTCTCCTTGCCAGAAGGGCATACCCACTAAAAACCTGACGCTTGCCCTCGGTGAGCCAATCGGTGGGGAACGCAAGACGGAGACGCAATGCGGAACCCAAAGCAACCAATGCGGCCTATAGACCCTACCAGACACCCCCGTATCTAATAACAGAGTTCTAACAAAAAAAAAACTTAGTCTATAGCTGTCTTCTTCTTCTTTTCGACAACAAACCTACACAGTGTCAGCCCAAAACTCCGCCACAAGAGTGGCGTTGTTAATAGCACCACAGAATATTAATAAGTACTACGTACAGAAGTTTTACTTCGCGAAGGTATTTAAAAAAATGTATGCTCAATGTCATTAACAATATGGTGTAATTTAGCCTGTCTCAAGAGTCAAGCACCATTTTGTTGACAAACGTCAGTGATCGGCACTGCGCCGAAGCTATAGATGACCCACGCTGAACTGTCCCGCCAAACTCAATGACAGGGGGGCGCTACCATCGTTCAACTATATGGTTTCCAACATGGCAAAAATCTGAACCAGCGATCCGGTATTGACGGTGGCGCCCCACTGTCAATGTCATCGACAGGACAGTCCTGTATTTTGGAACTATATAGGGCTGACTTCGGTAAAATGATGTGACGTGAGGTGCCAAACTGCGGAAAATGGCGGAGGAAATACATGATTTAGCATGAATTATCATGAATAATATTAACTACTTATTTACCTCTCAGTGTCTTGAGGCAACTTAAAAAAGTACATTCTGTGTTTTTATTATTATTTAGCCAGTTAAATCAGTATTTAGTACACCATTTTCTTTATTTTCTTCCATCATACACAAGAATACGCGTGCGTGAGTCAATGTTCGCTCTTCGCTCGTATGTGAGGCCTTGTCGAATAGTATCCTGTAGGTGGGCCATCGTGCGTGTTTTGTTTTCGATGTAAATTCGCGGAGATGAACAGGCCTGATACAAGTCTATAGCTGTGATGTGTTTTTGTGCAGGAAGCGCGTGACGAGCGAATCGCGCGCGTGTTGCGCCAAGGACGCGCGCGACAAGCAGCCGCAAGGCAAGAAGAAGCGCTTCGACTTCACGCCCACCAGGGACATCTTCAAGAGCTTCAAGGTACGTAGGTGTCAGTGGATACGGCGCCGGAACCTCTGCTCCCGTATAGAGCTGTGCCGCGTTCGCAAACTGTTGAAATGGGATTAATGCAGAATGTGCACTTCGCAAAATTTCCAATTTTCTATCCAAATGTTAAAGTTGAAGAGTTGTTTCTATAATATTAGTGCGCATTTTGCGACGCGCACATTCAGCGTCAGACTCGTTGAAATGGTAGCAACATTCCGAAACATGTTCCCATAGAGAGTGAATAGATCAGAACTGTGGGTGGTTACATGCCTTAATTTTTACATTGACTTCTGAGAAATGTGTCAACTTTCACAAATAAATCTAAGATACAATTTTTCTATAACCCTGAAAATCTATTATGTTCTTTAACTTTTCAAACAACTTTTATGTTGGATTCTTAGTTGCTTTGAACACAAGAAATAGTCGATTGAATTGAGAAATAAATACGAGTAAATGACAGCACAAGTTCCTCTACAAAATCTATTTGAGGAATCTTATGTTAACAACTTAAACATGATGTCAACTATCTACATGCTAATAACATTAGCAAAACTATTTGTTCGTCAGTTTTCTCTGACGTTACGTCTTCTTAAAAGGAGATCTTATTCTTTACATCTCCGTATAATCGTAATCAACTTCTATTTTTCTATTTCAGGTGAGTCGCAAGATGAAGAATCTCAAAATAACCACCGGCCTCGGCAAAGGCGAAACGAAAAGCTGCGAGTTCCTCGATGAGACCGAACCCATCGCCACCAACCGCTGCTCCAAATCCGTCGAGTGTTTGGAAGACAACGACGAGTTCGACGATTTCGACGCCGACCTGTCGATAGAGTTCAACGACGACGCGGTCACAACACTAGCGCTGCCGCAAGAGATTGTCGACTTGATAATACGCGGCCGAGAACAGTTCAAGATACGGTTGAAGGATGCTGGTGAGAGTGACTACTTGCCAATGTCTCCAGGGTTGCCGCCGCCTCCCTTAGGGCAGTATATGACTATGTCGCCGCGCACCAACCTGGCTTGAAATGTGACGTGAGGTGTGTGATATTTTGGTTACTTTTGATATGAATCGATGGACGGAGAGAGGCAGCTTCGTCGATCAGAATCAAAGTCAGCAAAATTCCAAGTATAAGAGTACCACACTAGTTTTGTTGAGCGTCAGCAAAGATTTTTCAATTTTGAATATTAAAACAAAGATTTGAAATAATTTGTAACATCGCTAATGTAACATTCCTTACAAACAGGAACCTGACGCTCGAAAAACACTAGGGTAGGCATACTTAGACACACAACTCAAACGCCTAACAATTTTAGTTATTAAAAGCAACATAACCTAAGTCAATAAACACCATCATTGGCAACTTTTGGATATAAAAATCCTTACTGAAGTTTATATTATACTCTTTTACATAAAATGTGTGTTGCTGACTTTGTTTCTGTATAATTTTTGAGACAGATGTTATCGATTTTAGCGGCATTTTTTGCCCAATATGTACGTAATAATGTACGTTATTTAGTATTTTGTTTAAAGTTTCAACGGTCTAAGACGTTTTACGCAGTGTGTGGAAAAACGTGTTGTTCATCAATACTGCTATTGTTGCTTGGTTCTTGTACAAAGCTTTTGCACTTTTGATGATACTGCTACTGGTTTTCACTGAGAAATATTTAATACAAAAGGTCCTTGATTCTGGTCAAATACTAAAGCCCGGTCCGTGAGCACGTAGAATTTTGTCCAATGACCCTAGCTACCCATCCTTATCGCTCGCGCGTAATTATATTGCTGTCGCGACTGTACGACTAGCACCCGTAGTGAGTGTGCGAGCGCGATAGCAACATAATTACGCGCGAGCGATAAGGATGGGTAGCTAGGGGTCATTGGACAAAATTCTATGTGCTCACGGACCAGACTATACCTACGGATAAAGTACCTACCGTCCTTTCTATTGATCTCATAACTTATTCTTGATTTACTTTAAGCCCGTCTGGAACAGTTTTATTGTGATCAAACCTAACTCATGCGTGAGTTCATGAAAAAGCATAAATTCAAAGAATCTGTTCTTTACACAGCTTGACACAAGACTTAAATTAAAACAAATCGTTGGTATATTCCTTCAAAGTTCTACAATTCTATTGCATTAATCCTGAACACTACTTAGTCTTCTACGTTTGCTATAATGAATGATGTATTTACCGATAACCAAGCGATTAATATCGTCGTGTCGTGATGGTTTCTCTGACGTGTCGTATAATGTATGAAGCGATTCCGGTGTGATGCGTCACGATACATAGACAAATATAAATCCGGCGAAACGAACGTCCAGACGAAGGATAGCCTCTGCGTGAAGTAGCTAGTCAGAAGTGCAGCAACTTTGATCTCCCACCGAACTTACCAGTTCACTATACATAGTTACATACAATATACCTTAGAAGCGTATATTTTTGATACGAACTTTGTCGAGATATAAACTTCCTATATTGGCCTAACTAAATCGTGTTGGATAGACAATATTATTATTTACATTACATATTGTAAACTCGTATAAAATATACGGTCAGCAACAGCAGAAGTAGGTACTGTTGTCAAACTCAATACTCGTTGATATCAAAGAGATGGTGCGAAAATGGGGATCAATCAGTATTTTTCATTATTTTTTGTTTTATTTATGTTGTTAAATTCAGTAAGTTTACAAGTTATGGTTTTGACAATTATACAAAGAATATACTTTTACAGTTTAAATGGGGCAGTTGACAGCAAACATCAATAATTAGAGGGAATTGCTTCTCCAAAAGAACACTTCATTCTGGCCTTAAAACCAAAAAAAAAATGGTATTAAATCAACCTCAAGTGCGATGGTTTGCAATTGTGTTGGGAAAAAGCTATGTCACACAAAATATAAGTGAATCGCGTTTTGACAGCTCCTAAAAAGAGTTTCAAATTATTAATTTGTGGTGTCAACTACCCTATATTCAAATCCGCCTTCTCGCCGTCTATTTGATATACAAACTTATTATGTAAGTTTCGACTAGGTTGTAAAGTATTTTTAAAAGCACATTCAATAATGAACTAACCATTATTTAATTTAACTATTATCTAGGAATTCTAGATATCCTCTCCCTTAAATCTATGTTTTAAAATTGGTATAGAACATTGTTGAGTATTGAACTAACTTCTATAAGAATAAGAATAAATTTATTACTTAGTAAAACTTAGCCTATATACATTTTCTATACAAGCTATTTGTACAGCTTTATACACGTTTTTAACTATTTTGTAACTACTTATTTGCTGATTTGCTTAAGATTGTGTTCTCAACCACCGATAAGTTACGGAAGAGTCGAATAGCATAATCACATGCTTTGAGCATTGAAAATGTATATTTTCATACATCATTGATGTATCCGAAAGTGATATTTATCGATGTAATAGCGATTTGATGAAAAAGGCGAAAATAACATGCATATTATTTACTATCAAATGTTGCAGGTAAGTATTAAAGACTAAGAACGATCAGTTCGACGTTTTCCGCATTGATAAATACTCATTAAGTATTATTGAAAAAATATATAAAAAAATACATAAATATGATCAATTAAATATGTAACAAGCCTGCAAAAATATGACAATCAATCTGCATGGCGCAGATAGCAGCTGTCCATTTTAAACTTTTATGAATAACAGGCTGTTCCTGCAATAATTGAGTCGTCTAGTTTCAAAACCCGCTAAAACGCTCCTGCAACTAATTTCTGTTTATATCTCTAAATGATGCTACTGCAATTTTCTCATCATACTGTTCAATCATTTTCGATCAAAATACACTAAAAGACTACTAAACTAGCACTTAAAATTAGGTTTGTGTTACAAACTCCGCTAAAACGCCGTCCGTTTCTTTCAAAACCCTCTAAAAGTTGATTGACCAATGGTAGCACGGTATTTTGGTCACGTGACTGCGAAATCAGTATGGAGATTTTTTTATAACGTGGTTGCTTCATAATTTGCTCTTATCAAATCCCGCTAAAATACAACATGTCCGTTTCAAATCCCATTAAAACCGAATGTTCGTAACAAAATACGCCAAAATGAAAATAATTTTCATTATAATTCAAATTATATTTAATTTAAAGATAAATAGCAATTACTGTTAGTATTGCCAGATGACAATAATAATTCGTATCATATTTTTTTTTGCCTAAGGCCAAAGCTATATGGATAAGCGGTTTTTTTCAATTTCTCGAAATCTTATCAAAATCGTTTTAGCGGGATTTGAAACTAGACGCCTCAATTACTGCTTTTAATGTATTTGTGTAAAGGCCGAAAACGATAAGAGTAAAGCTGATGCGATTAAACCCTGAATTTATATTATTATGTATTTACGTCACGCTATTAGGGCGCTTTCTAATTGGACAGGTTGTGTCAGGTATAGTTATAATGTCGAGCCATTTTTTATGAAAAAATATTGCTGCCACTGCGCCTTCGATATGTGTATGGGACAGCATTAGGATACTGGTCTAATTAGAAAGCACCCTTAAAAGCCGTCTGCTACGTCACAGTACGGGTCGGTAAAGCAGACTTGTGATTGAGGAAGATGTTAGAGTAGGCGCACACAGTTGATTTTTCGTCGGCCGATAGTTTAGTCGGGCAGTTGATCAGTATGGGAATGTATGGGAGTGCACACACTACGCCGATTCGATTTGGCCGATTCTTCATACAATTTGAAATCGGGCACAACTATCGGCCAACTAAAATCAACGGTGTGCGCCTACTCTTACTGTTCGTGAGCGGTGTATTCCGAGCCTGTAGTAGCACTGTTTTAGTATTGTTGAGTTTGTGTAGCCAAATTGTATTTTAAGGGACCTGGTTTCGTAATTGAAACTGAATGTAGTCAAATATTTTGGTGTCTGCGGCACCAGACACTAAACGGCCTCCAGCCTGCTATATACTTTAAATGGTTGACACTATCTACCAAGAGCTAACTGCTGGTGTTGTGTAAGAAAAGTTTTGTGTCCAATACCTGCTGATATTTACTCTTGCTAGTTAATCAGGGGTGAAAAGGGCAAGAACATATTTAAATAAGTAGTAATTTACTGTAATTAATTGAAGAAATCAGGGTTTCTTCAAAGCAGGTTTTGAAATGCTTAGTGGACTGTCTCACCCATTAGCCTGCCCTTTCTCCTCCTGTTAAGATTAGAGGCCAGTGATATGGATATTAAAGACTGATAGTCCCCATGACTATGGTCATAGTATTAACATAGATCTGATTGTATTTGTGTCTGGTGCTGTATACACATTGGGGTGGTTTTGGATGTATATAAGGATTAGTTAAAATATATGTATATGCTGGATTAGGGAAAGCACTGCCAAATGTTAGGCGTAAGTTGAAGACCGTACGGTTTGATGCTCATAGGTGTAAAGAGAAAGTAGGATATGTCATGTTTTTGAGAAAGACTGAAGGGCAAGACTAGCTAAAATTTTGGAGAACTTTATATTTAAGTGGTATTAAAAGTGTTTTGAAAGGAGATTGTTTGCATGTCTCTTCAAAGATCTACTAAGAATTTCCAAGTTGTATCGATGTGGACAGATATGCAAACAGCGTGGTTAATATATTATCCTATGTGTAAGAAGGCAGCTAGTGTCGTGTTGTCTTCGAAGACCCTGTAACTCTACGGGCCTACTCCGCGAAGCAAATTATGTATTAAAATATTCTAAATTAAAAAATGTAATGATCAGTGAGCGACAATGTTCGTGACAGTGTAAAAACACGAATGTCTTCAAAGACAACATCGCTATACGTATACGGCTTGATTTGCGCTAATGTGTTGTGATACTTTACTATTACTTGTTATAGAAACATTTCTATGAGCTTCATAGCTTTTGTTGATTTTAACGACTTCTATCTAGTGTGTTGATATGAAACCAAATATTGGACGAATATTTGATAAGTTTTGTATTTGTCAGTTTGTGTGTTTAGTCAAAGCAGTATTTAGCAGTTTTCTTTTGTAAACTTGTAGTTTCGTTTTCGTAGCTTTCACATAGTGTAACTTAGTGTAAGATCTCTACCGCATTTACTTTCTGACCAATTATTTAACTCTAGTACCTAAATAGTTTATATTCCTAATAGTTTTAACGCTGTCTGATAAATTTGAAATGATCTCTGATTAGTCTTCAATTTTTATTTATTTACTTTAACCATGTAAAGGTTTGCTTCTGCGCACCACAGCACTGTAATTAAATGTATTTTCTTTTTGTTGTGTGGTTGCGACGTCTCTTCGATATTTTTGCTCTGGTACTGCTCAATCTAAGCTGGCCCATCTGTGGAGTTTTGTTAATTTTCTGATTGCCACTTATCCCGATTACAATGAATTTTAAAAAGTAGGTTAAACAACTTCACGCTGTTCTAAATTGCAAATGGTATTTTGTGAAGCGGTTCTGTATCTTTTTTCCTCACTATTTTATTGACGAGTTGCTCAAAAAGCAATGGTTCTGGGAGGTAGAAACATATTGTAAAGTGTGGCAGCTTGATTGTAATTATTAACAAAAATTTGAGAAGATTTTGCGAAGGACCAAATTTTTTGTTTAGTTTTGTTTTATTAGTTTATTTATTGCAGCAGTGTCAATATGCATTGTGTTATCCAAATAAAAGTTTGTAAGTGTATTCCACTGGTTTTATTGTCAAACCCCTTATTTAAAGCCATAATTGTATTGATATATCTTTAGTTAATAAAATAAGATATAATTTCGTGATAAAACTTTAATAAACCAAAATAAAACAATACAGCACACAAAATATCACAATAAATTGCAGTGTCAATATAACAATTTGCATTGCCTTCGTCTGTTTACACTTAATACTATCTAACCCACACACACACTCGGTCTGCACTCTCACTATTGGTCCGTACAAAATGTGTGAGTGATGCAAATTATTTTTATGGTGTTTTATCGTGAGATACGATTGATTCAATTTTGCAAACTGTGAAACTGACCGTCCAAAAATAATTATTTTTGAAACGTCAGTATGTGACTGATTCCTGACCAAATGTGTGTGGGAATCGCTAAGGCCTACCGCTGCGTTATTTAACACTACTGATGATTTGACAAAGTTCTTGATACATTGCACTTAAACCTTCAAACAAACCATATTTTGAACCCTATAGCTTTGTGTTAAGGTTAAACTTTCTATACCCATTTAAGAGTTTAATAATTTAAATATGCAAACGCAGCGGCAGGCTGTGATGTATGACTAACCTAACACCTACACCAAGGTGCAAAAAATGCTCATTTTCCGTGTAAAATCTACTTCATGATGGCACAGCACAGTTACGTATCTGAAATGCACATTATGAACGAAACAATATTTTTGCCGAGATTCTTGAAGGTAGCACATCACTTAATTTTTATTGCAAAACGCACCTTAATACTACTAAATAAGATGCCAGTGTTTACTTTGATGTGCCGTCGTACGTTATGCCTTTATAATACTTTTTTTTATAATTGGATGATGTTTTGCAAAAGGGTTCTAAGTGACAAATTATGAGTTCAGAGAATCATAGGATTGTAAAATTGTTTTTCTCTCTCTTAATTAAATAGGCAATGTTTTTATTACCAAAAAAACTGATAGTTCCTATATTATGCTTAACACCATCCATTTGTGTCAGTAAAATCCACCAAACCAATATGATTGGTCAGTATTATTTTGACCAAAAACTTTACTAGGAGTCCGACCAATGCCGGTTTCGTTATTTCGAAATATGTTTAGGTATATTATTTATTAGTTTGACTTATGTGCTAAATACACAAGTGTTATTATGAATTATGATTAGTGTAAATAAAACTATATAAATGCTTGACTAAAATTGACTTCAAATGCATTGATTGCTCGTATTATGGTGAGGTATATTTTAATGTTAGTCGTGATTAGCATCGAAAAGGCTATTTAAAAAAAAATCTATCATATTTTTTTCCAGATCTTTTGCATCAGAAAATAAATAAAAACGTAAATTTGTTGATTGAAATCCGGTTACAAATCCAGTCTCGCGGCAATCCCAAAATCAACAAAATATTTTTCTTAAATTAGTCGCAGGACCCAAAGTACTTATAAAATAAATATTTACACCAAAAGCATTTCTTTCACTTATAATAATAGTTATTTAAACATAATGACTCGCGCACGTAACATACACGTACACACATCACACCACAAACGTGTTTAAATCTATAAAAGTTGTTCTTATACTTAATTGTTTTAATGGACCTAGAATATCTAGAAACTAAATGTATTTTTTTTAACAATTCATAATTTATGTTTTTCTTTTTTGTTTAGCATATACAGGGTGGCCAAAACAGTGAGGTCTAAAAGAAAAATTTAGATTCCTTACATCAAGGTGTACCTAAATCACCCCCATGTATATTATACGATTGTGCTTAGTTTAGGAGATAGAGTTAATTTTGTGATATTTTAAAATTTTATGACCTAGTAGGCTTTAAACATTTTTATCTTTTTTTTGGATTGACTTTTTTCGGATTTCTTTTTTTCAACAGATTTTTTATGAATTGCAGATGTTTGAAAAAAATAATCACCTTCCTATCTTTGATTCAAGATACAAAAGTTTTGCTAGAAACATTAAAATTATGCTTTTATCAGAACACTATCAAATTTTCAACTTAAAAGTTTAAGTAAAAAAAAGAATTTCCATAGGTCCAAAACTATTTTAAAAACTTCGCCGTTTCCTGAACATTCATAATGATACAAAAAAACATGTACTCAATAGGCCACTATTTCCTGTAATCGGTCCACTAAAGTGGTAAGTCGGAGATTCCGTTACATGTTTTTGACTTTCTTAGAGTGAATTAATATTGGGAATCCTCTAAGTTTACATTACGTAGAACAGATTTAGAGCAAAAACTGGACAGAACATGTTTTTATTCTCAACGAGGGAGCTCTTGCCCTTCATCACACTTGGTGGAAACTGATGATTATGCTGAAGGTGGAAGGGAACTTCAACTACAAAGGAACTATGGCTTCCTACCTCCAAATTCCGGAACACATTGTTATTTTAAGTAAGTTTTGATGAACTTAAACCAAATATCCCTCCTTCTTCTTCTCACTGTAGTAGGTATTTCAAGGGTAATAGTAAAATGTAACAACTGCCTCTGTCTTCAAGTGGTAAGAGGTAAGCTTCAGAGGTCCCGGGTTTGATTCCCAGTGGAGGTGAAATTTTCTGCTCGGTTTGGTTGGTGGTAGGGTTTGATCTAAGTCTGCCTGGCTAGCAACTCTATTTTCCTAAGTCTGTCACTATAACAATAATGTTAATAGCATTACTGTATTCCGGCATTTGGAGGTAGGAAGCCATAGTTCCTCTGTAGTTGAAGTTCCCTTCCACCTTCAGCCTAATCATCAGTTTCCACCAGGTGTGATGAAGGGGGGCAAGCACCGGCTTGGAGGTGAATGGCAGACGCATCCCTGGAACCATTGTCAGGTAACAGGTTGACCTCCGCAGAATGATGATGCCTGCCAATGCCCAAGATACGCTCAAAGGCAGCTTCCATAGAATTTGCTGAATGGATGGTCATTTGACTTTGTTGTTCTTATTACGCTGCCCTGCCCTTCATTTCTAATGAATTTTATAATTATTGATTTATTGGTCGTCAAGGGGACAAGGGACTGATTTGGAATCCTTGGCTTTTTGTTCTAAATCGAAAGGAGTTATTTTGAGGCTTATGTATTTGCTTTAAAGATAATAAGATGTGTAGGTAAAGGTTACTTACGTATTCGTATTTGACGATTTGTAAGAACTAATTTAATCAGTCTAAGCAAATAAAGATAGTATTATGTTTTGATTTTGCTTGAAGTGACCGGCTAGAGAACCAAGGTCGGATTATTTTTTGGATATCACCAGTACGAGCACAGGGTGATTTTGCCGAACAAAAATCCAGCACTGGGAGGGTGCTCCTCGCACAATGCTTATTAGGAATTTTAGCCAGGATACGCTCGTGACATGTTCAAATTCAAATTCAAAAACGTTTATTGCATGTCACATTACAATTTAAATTATGTTGTTGCAAAATAGAGGTATACATGTTAGATGCACTCAGCACATTTTGTCATACTTATTAAGCTTCTTGATTTGCAAAAAACATTAGAATTTAATAATTCAAGCTGTAAGCTGGCTCAGTGTTAGGGGTGGCCGCCCAGTCTACTAATAGTTGTAGTTTAAAGTGCTTTGTTGATGTGGTAAAGCATTTGTAGGTGCTTTATTTTATGAGCATAATGAGCCTTTTTAAAGGGTTATTTATTAAGAAAATCGTACCAGAAAGAGTTATCGTTCGATTGTGGTGATGCTAACAACGTATTTTGATTGGTAATGTTTGCGATTGGGGCTGACGGGGCCGCCGTTAAAATTGTATAAGATGGTTGTGAGTACGTTATTCAATCTATTTATACAATATAGAGATTCGCGAGAATGCTCATTTGATCGAAAAGAGTGTTAAAACTATCAGAATCCCACGTACCTCGTTTCATCCGTTATGGATCTCGCCGGGGTCCGAGTTTCTCCGGTATCCGACGCTCTGGGTCCACCTGCTCGTCGTCCGGAAGACACTCGTCCCCTTTGGCGCCAACCACCATCACGTACATGTCGTTCGCGGTCACACACGCGCGGTCAATTGCACTTTTTAATTTTAAACTTAGTATAAGAACGTTGAGAAATAAATTATTTCAGTAAAAATCTGAGCAGAGTTTCTGCTTACGATGTTGCTAGTTTGGAAGTTAAAGACGCTATGAAGAACTCCAAGCAAGCTCGCCCCCAGGTGACTAAAATGGCGGCAAACGGAAGTAAGTCAAATCAATTACTATTAAATAATTGCGGAAATGACGTCAATTAAGGTATAAAATGGTAAAAAAATACACCGGAAGTAGACGCATCTCTCTCACCAGATGCTGTGCATCGTCACATGCCGAATAATATATAATTATTTAAACAATAGTACAGAAGATGCATTGGAATACCGGCAGGAAACGGGACACTAATGACCGCAATAGGCTATTTGACTGGTTTCTGAAAAGCACTTGAAAGTTTGCAAAAGAAATAATCAGTGTCTAGCCAAAATGTTAAATTACAATATCGTACTGGCGGCATGTAAAGTAAAAATAAATAACAAACTTCAGGGACGTGAGTCGAGCGGCAGTCGATAGCTGGCGATGATGGTGCCACGCATTATTTTAGATTTCGTAAAACCCAAACGACCAAAAAAATCATAGTATATTTACGGATTTTTGGGATCTATTTTGATCGTTCGCTTTGAGAACGGATATCCAGAGTAGATATCAATAGTATAAGTCTAGCGCTAAACTCATTCAATGCCTGAGGCACGAGAGCGACACGGGGGTGTGACATTGACATATTGTGACGTGACAAAGCATATGATTCAAAAGGAGATCTCGTTGACGTTTGACGTTACAAAAACACCCTCCCGTGCCGCTTCTATACCTCATGCACTTACTGAGTTAAACGACCTATAGTCTGGTCTGTGAGCACGTAAAATTTTGTCCAATGACCCATATATCCTTATCGCTCGCGCGTAATTATATAACTGTCGCGACTGTGCGACGCGCGCCCGCAGTGAGTGTGCGAGCGCGACAGCAACATAATTACGCGCGAGCGATAAGGATGGGTAGCTTGGGGTCATTGGACAAAATTCTACGTGCTCACAGACCGGGCTTTATAAATCATTATCTTAAAATGTCAAATAGCCTATTCACAGGAACCAAGTTGCAACTCGCAGCCGACGCGGCGTCGATAAGATTTTGCATAAAATACAAAGGAATCCTAATGACCTCACTTCGGCCTCGCGCGGCATCAGATGATCTCCCAGTCGCTTTCTATGGGCTCCTCCGGGGACATGGCTGCTTGCGGGCCCTTCAGCCCGTTCGTCTTTTCCAACTTCAACTCTATGTCGCCCAAGTTCCAGTTGTTGGGCAACTGCACGACTTTCGGCACTAAGTCTATGGGCCTAGAGTCCTGAATCTGTTTGGGCGCTGTTTTTTCTTTAGGAGGGTCAATATAGGGCGTGTCTATCAACTGGAACTTTTTGTAAGTCGGCTGGGGAGGAGGCTCCGGCTTCTCGTGATCGGTCTTCGGGGTGCTAATGCTCAGGGATTCTAGATTGAGCAGCTTGGCCAACATTTTTTCTTTCTCTTCTATTTGCTTTTCGAGAAGATCGTCGTTTTGTGGCACCTCCCTGAGGAGAAATCGAACATGATCATTCGCGGCGGTTTGAAATCTATGGCGGTATAAGCGATTATTATCTACACTAATATTAAAAAGAGGAAAACTTTTAAAAAAGGCGGAAATTTAGTGTATAACATAAATCGTCTAATTCGCTGCAAGTGGATATGAATACAGCGTGGGACGTCCACCCACAAGGTGTACCGACGACATGATAAAGGTAGCAGTAAGGCGCTGGACGCAGGCCGCTACCAACCGGGCAACATGGAAAGCATTGGGGGAGGCCTAGGTTCAGCAGTTGACGTCCTATGGCTGAGATGATGATGATATGAATAATTTTAGAATCTTGTCTCGGGGTAAGTTAAACTGTCATTGGACTCTCATCGAAATTTATCAGAAGAACATAGGAGGAGGCGGTAGACGTAGTTTGGTCGCGGGAGGTGCCTGGATCCGGGCGGCGCAGGACCGGTCTTTGTGGAAAACCTTGGGGGAGGTCTTTGTCCAGCAGTGGACGTCTCGAAACATACAAGGAGTTCGAAGGTTCGCCATATTACAGGTACTCACCCGTAAACGCTGACGTTCATGAGGCAGGGGCTGGTGTAGCTGACGGCGTCGGCGCGCCGCACCGGTGTCGCCATGCGAGGCGTGCTGCTGCCCGACCCGCCGTCCCTTTGGGAACAAACATATTCAGCACCAACAAAAACAAAACTTACGATTAATGCCCGGTTCCCACTAAGGCCCAGAACACACGGTGAAACGCAACTGCAACGAAACTGCAACTTCTAGTTACTTTACGCGACCAGTTTGAAACAGATTTGAAATGGTCGCGTCATGTGTGGTCTCTCAACGGAATCTTTGGCAGAAACTTAGATGCAACTCAAAAGTAACTAGAAATTGCAGTTTCGTTGCAATTGCGTTTCACCGTGTGTTCTAGGCCTAAGGCGAAGCGGAGTGGAGAAGCGTCGGGCCGTAATTTTTTTCTATAGAATTTGACAGCGGCGGCGGCAGCGCAGCTCTTATAGATGACCTAAACTGAACTGTTCCACCAAACTCATTGACAGGGGGGCGTCACCATCGTTCAACTATATAGTTTCCAACATGGCAAAAATCGGAACCAGCGATCCGGTATTGACAGTGGCGCCCCGCTGTCAATGTCACGGATAGGGCAGTTCAGTATATTAGGTCTATAGCGGAGAGAAGTAGATTGTAGAAATAATGAAATCAGATTATTCAAAACACTTCTGCGCTCCGCTCCGTTCTGCTCTACCTTGGTGGAAACCGGACCTTTAAAAATTAATTAACTAAGATGGCGCCGTCTTGCCCTCCGAAAATAAGAATCTCTGCTCCAAAGTCTTTATACTAAAGTATATTAGTAGTAAAACATTGGAAGGAATCCCCTCTGCGCCACCTCTTACCATTATAAATTATGATGGCACAGACACAGACATTTAGACCTAGTAGCTTAATGCTATGCTCCACACTGCATCTCAAAAGTGTCAACAGCTAAGAAAATGCAGTAAATTTTGTACCTTCTCCTGCTTCTCCGGCTGCTATGTATGAGTTCCTCGTCGCACTTCTTCTCCATGATACTGTTGTACAGTTTAAGCTTCCGCTGCAGTTCCTCCGACTTCGCGCGGCGAATCTCTTCGGCGTCGCTGGACACGTCCTGAAAATAGAATTCATTTATAAGAACAATATCCATACACGGCCGATGGGGAAGCAAGGTTCTGGAGAGGAGACTACGCACCCAAAAGCGCAGCAAAGGACGTCCACCCACAAGGTGCACCGACGACCTCATATAGGTAGCAGGAAGGCGCTGGATGCAGGCCGCTACCAAGCAGCTATTGTGGAAATCATTGGGGGAGGCTTATGTTCAGCAGTGGACGTCCTATGGCTATAAATGACATATGACATGTTTGAACAAGGACATAGAACCCACAGCAGAGTCAACACCACTCCACTGACACGTTGCCCTATGACCCAGTTGCGCCTTGCCCATCATGCTCGAACTAATTGACTTTAGATTCCAGCACAATTTCCAAGATATCTCCCAGCAGTATGTTTCACGCAGCAGTTCGACCATAGCATAGCAACCAGCATTCTACAGCATCGTTTCCCTATGACACAGTCTATATGGCTTTGCCATTATACCTTGAACTCATTGATGATGGATTCCAGCACATTCTCCGATATATCTCCAGGCAGATGCTTAATAGGCGGCAGCTCGAAGCACTCTTCAGCGCTTGCAACTGCCGCTTCGTTGTCGCGCGCGAATGGCTCCAACACTCCAGCGATGAGAGACACGTCGAGCGCCGTCCAGAGCATAGCAACCAGCATTCTACAGCATCGTTGCCCTATGAAACAGTCTATATGGCTTTGCCATTATACCTTGAACTCATTGATGATGGACTCCAGCACATTCTCCGATATATCCCCAGGTAAATGCTTGATGGGCGGCAGCTCGAAGCACTCTTCGGCACTTGCAACTGCCGCTTCGTTGTCGCGCGCGAATGGCTCCAACACTCCAGCGATGAGAGGCACGTCGAGCGCCGTCAGCTCGCGCACCGTGCTCACTGCCAGCTGGATCGATGACGTCAGCGACTTCGTCATCAGGTTGATCGGCTCCTCTGCTGGATAAGGATTCTTTTTAGACGTAATTCAACGAAACTAGTGATTAGATAAGCACCAGTTTAAACTATTGTTGAATTTTTACTATACATTATCACTGTAACGAGATTTTGCAACGAAAAAAAAAACACTTTCATAAAGGTAAATAGATATGTATTTACCCTCCCGACGTTTCAACTCGGTTGCACGAATCATGGTCGCGGGCAGACTGAAGAGATGCGTCGTCTGCCCCGGCGCGATGAATTTTCTTCACCCACCCGCATTTGCACAATATTTTCGTCAGTGGTACAGTCAGTCCGACAAACTACACTAACAGTTAAGAATTTAAACGTCGGGAGGGTAAACATCTGTTTACCTTTATAAAAGATTTTGTTGCAAAATCCCGTATAAGGGATAATTTATACAAGTTTAGCTTTAAATCTTGTATTTATTTCTAAATAGAAATACTAAACAGTAAGGAATGACTAAGTAGGCTTCCAACTTCTCCGGGGTCGATTCTGTTTCTGCTTTCTTGCTGTATCACACTCAGCTCCACTATAGCTGTCAGGGGGCTTAGTGTGAGTTTACATCAAACGTGTTCGTAGCGAGTGCGTAAAACAATGACATTAAATGTATGACAGATTGTACAGCGTCCGTACGGCGACCACGGGCTGGAAAACGTAGCGTGGGCAGGCCTCCTACTAGGTGGACCGACGATCTGGTAAAGGTCGCGGGAAGAGCCTGGATGCGGGCAGCGCAGGACCGTTCATTGTGGAAAACCTTGGGGGAGGCCTTTGTCCAGCAGTGGACGTCATTTGGCTGAAACGAACGAACGAACGAACAGCGTCCGTAGCGGATACTTTCAAGAACTAAAATCACACTAAGCCCACAGGTGTTACCTGGGTATACCTAGCTAGCGACACTTCGCTCTAAACTCTTAGGCTGGGTTGCACCATCTTACTTTAACTTTAACGTCAAAAGCCTGTCAAACTACATACAAAAACACCGGTTATAGCTTCGCTCAGTTAGGTGGTGAACTCAGCCTTAATCCTTTCCATTCCTACATTATTATAGATACTCCTTGATATTATTGCAAATGAGGCGGAGGAGATTCCAAGTTTCGGTCTCTGAAAGACTCACAATAAAACCCAAACAATGAAGGTTGGGCAGTCCAAATCGTCTTGGGACCTGTCACAAAATAATAGAAGAAATACTGGAACTTTTTAACTAGCACGATTCTTAATTCAAGTCCTTCAAGTGTGTAGTAGACATTTAGGCGGTTATCACACTGCGCCGCGCTCCGTCGCGGAGCGCGTGATTTCATATAAAAAAAACCCGCGCGCGGACGCGTTGTCAGTGTGTTGTGCCGCGCGTGTTTTCCATACAAACTGAGGTACTTACATACAATGATTAAATCTGTCGTCCCGCGCTCCGCGGCGGAGCGCGGCGCAGTGTGATAACCGCCTTAAGCGTGCGATATCGGAAGACTTAGCCGACAAGACACCATGTTTTATGTGGCATGACACTTCTGGCAATTTCGATATGTAAAGGTTCGACAAAAACAACGCGTGCAACCCGCGTGCACGATGGCGATGGCGATCCTACTGATTCTACTTATCGCCATCGCCATCGCGCACGCGGGCTATACGCGTTGGTTTGGCTGAACCTTAAAAAACACTAAGGCCCAGAACAGACGGTGAAACGCAACTGCAACTTTCTTATGATTCTGATGAATGAAACTGAAACTGAAAGCTTCAAACTGGTCGCGTCATGTGTTGTCTCTCAACGGACGCTATGGCAGAAACTTAGATGCAACTCAAAAGTAACTAGCAGTTGCAGTTTCGTTGCAGTTGCGTTTCACCGTCTGTTCTGGGCCTTAGGCTTAACTTATCGTGCAACAATGTTTACATCGAACGCTACTTAACTACAAGCAAGCGAGAGCCATTGCTCATATACATAAATATACTAAGCACAGTGAAGCAAAGGAACTGAAGTGGTCGGAAATAAAAATGCGATGTGTTCTAAAAAGTATATTTATATATAAGTACAATGGCCATGCTGACGACATAGTCATACAATCAAATAAAATTGGGATCTCACTACAAAGGGTAACTAAAAAATCTGAAGAGATCTTAACATTTCGGAGAAATTAGTGCAAAATTGACTACATTTCAGACACCAACGTCAGACATTATGTAGGTTGTCCAGAATAATACAGTAATATAAAGATATGTTCACATTACTGTCTCTCCGCGCATGTATTAACACGAATACGCCATAAAATAGGTCCAAAATATTCATTTACTTAAAAAATTCAACCAAAGTAGATTAAGCACAGCACCAACATTAATTAGTATTCATTACGAATTGTTAAAACCTCTTCGATCATAACCGATTCCTCACGTGTGCTCAAATACAACTTACTCCACACACAATCATTTCTCGTTTTCACTCTATTTGTCCTTTTTGCTCACACTTGACACCAGTGAGAAAGACGGATGTAGCAATAGTGTTGCTAAGGCGGTATAATCTAGTCTGTGAGCACGTAGAATTTTGTTCAATACCGCAGTGAGTGTTCGAGCGCGACAGCAACATAATTACGCGCGAGCGATAAGGATGGGTAGCTTGGGGTCATTGGACACAATTCTACGTGCTTACAGACCGGGCTTTAGTTTTGGTAACAACTCATTAGATCTTACGAATAATTTTGCATTTTTCGTTATATTTTCGCAAATGTGAGGAGACGGGAATAAAGCATGGTACTAATAAGCAGATTCTGGCTTAGAATAAAATAAAAATAACTAAAGAAGACAAAAGCATACCACAGTGAAAGTACATTGATTGATATCATGCATCATTCTATGAACGATCATTCATTGTGTATCAACAATTTTTATAGGAAAATAACTTTTAGCACCTAAATCTTAAGCTCTATGCGTCACATACAGAGTTATTAAAATAAAATCGTGACAACTTAAACTCTAACCCCCTTACAAATAAAAATTTACACAGTTGTTGAACACTGTTTTAAAATAACATTTCCATACTGAACGTCACTTTGAAACACTGTTCAACGAGCGTGTAAGTTTTATTACTAAGGGGTAAAACTAAAATATCTGTGAATTCGTCATCGTGATAAAACCTACAATATTACAACCGTAAGAATTTAGTATTTATTTTAATTATATGTTACTAAATTGGCGGTCGTTGTAAGTTGTTGTTGACTAGACTTACTAACGATTAATATGAAATTATCTGAATTTCTGTTTTGTGTTATAGATCAGAGGCTAAACTACTAGTGTGATGCATATGTATATGAAGACAGTGTCTATTATTGTCTATGTAGTTAGCAGTAGAAAGATATTTGAATATTCAACTTCAAAAACACAATTTTAAATATACAAGACCATTAAAATTTTCAGCGAAGGGCCTTTGGCCTAGTCAAATATTATCCTAATTCCCATTTAAAATTTAAGTATCAAAAATATGTAAGTACTCACAACATTATATACTGCTTATAAAGCTTTTAACTAAATTCATTGTGCATCATTGTAATCACATAAACTACAATACCTTGTTAGACCTACATCTAAAAATTAATACTAATCTCTTTAATTAATTAATACTAATTTCCGTAAACTTATAAGTACTTCGTTTCACATCTTTTCAAGAGGAATGTTTTTGACGTATTTGTTACCAAATTGAAAACGTAATAAAAATTAATAGTCAAAATACCGGAAATGTTGAGTCTTAAAAATATATAACAATAAATCCTACAACTAAAAATAGCAAACAATGTAAGCAAGGTTTAACTTCTGACAGTCGGCATCTTTCCCTTCTCTGCTATGCTATAATCTAGTACTTAACTTAGTCAGTACTCAGTGCCTGAGATATGGCAGCGGCACGGGAAGGTGTTTTTGTAACGTCAAACGTCAGCGAAACTTCACATCTTCTTCAGATTTAAAGCCTTGATCACACGTACCGAGCAAACGGGCGAGACAGTGCTCTCGGCCGAGTACTCAGTGTGTATGAACATTACGCCGAGTGCTCGGCCGAGCGCTCGAGTATGTGACTCGCTCACCCAAATGTCTCGACCGAGTAAACATTTTACTGTCTCGCCCGTTTACTCGGTACGTGTGATCAAGGCTTTTCTGTTCACGTGTTTTGAAATTAGCACAGTCAGTTCAGTTCTATTGAAACTTTTATTTTTCTCTAATCTGTGGACGTGACGTCAATCATTTGGGTGAGTCGCCACTCGCCACTCAGCGAGACAGAGTGCACGTTCAGACCTGCCGAGCGAGCGAGCGAGACAGTAAGGGGAAGCGGGAGGATGGACACTCAGACTGTCTAATGCTACTGTCTCGTCGCTTTGCTCGGCCGATCACTCGGCGTAATATTCATACACACCGAGTATTCGGCCGAGAGCACTGTCTCGCCCGTTTACTCGGTACGTGTGATCAAGGCTTTATATGTGTCACGTTATATCATGTCAATGTCACCCCTCCTATTCCTCAGGCGTTGACTTGAGTTAAGAGCTGGAGCCATAACAGGTACACATTATTTTATTACCTGTCAAAAGTATAACCTTTACTCGCTACTCTGTACATTATAAAATAAGCGAATATAAAATTTAACAAGCAAAATAATAGCGTTTAAGCTCTACACACATTGGTCCTCATTTGGTATAGGGTAAGGCACTTTTAGACTTCTACAAAAGTACAGGGTGTAAAAAAACCCTTAACGAAACCAAAATCATATTCATTATGGATATGAAGCTGAAATCAGCTAAAATGTCATACATCAAGCTAATATAGCACCTTATAGTCGCTTGCCTCTCTAACTGATGTATCTGTCATTTTTTTCGAAACTGAGTTATCTACACCATCTTATTCAATTTGCAACGAATCGATCTGTCTAATCGCCTGAACATTTTGCTCAATGTCAGTTATGTCAGTTAGAGAGGTAAAAAAAAGTAGTTTGATGTTTCGACACTAAAATAAAAAAGTAATGGTGTTCGTTAAGTTTCATTTTACACCTTATACACACAACACATCACGTGAACTAAATCATAACAAAAACATAATCTTATAAGTACAAAATAATCGTTTGTTTAATAATTTCATCGATAAAAGTGAGTCAGTGAAATTTAAAGCGCCGTTTCTAAACGACATACGATCGATGGTGACGACCGCTCAAAGATCAAAAAATGGCACGAGACAACAAATAAATAACATATTATAATAAAGTAAGGAAAAATATTGCAATCTATGGAACTGGAATTTGTCACACGAGAGGATTTTTTTTTCAAGTATAAATTGGTCAATTGTAATAAAACTTAAATACGACAAAATCATGACACAATTAAAATTAATATGTGTAAGTAAGCAAGAATATTTGACGACTTGTAACTGAGTTAGAATGGCGTCAAAGGAATTTTATTGTCTTTTGAGAGACGTCACTAATTCATAGGACGGACTAATCGCTAAACACAACATAAAAATCACAACAAATACATATCATATCTACAAAATATCGGACCTATAAAACTAGGCAGTAAAAATCATACAGAAATAAAGCAGTTTCAAAATTCATATACGATTTGTGCTATTTTGTCATAGTTGAAAAACACTTCGCATGATACCCGATGTTTTATAGGGCCGATATTTCCTTATATTTCTACCATGTTATAGTCTTTTATATCTTTACACTACATACTGAAATGTTTCAGTCAGCGTAAAATGTTTTTGTTTTAAAGACACTGGAGATTTTACACAAGAAAAAAATTACTGGTAGCATGATATCGTAAATTTAGCTTGGCATAAATCTACCGTGTAAATAGAAGTTGATTTTAAATCACATGCAATACTTATTTTGGAATACTGCTAGTTAAAATACTGGGTAAGTAATGTAAAATGTTATCGGAATCTTATTCGTTACAATATTGTATTATGTGCAACATGCATTCAATTATTGAAATATAGAAGAGGAAAATGGAAATGTAGATTTTTTTTCTGGGAATGTTTTATAGTAGGATTCATGCTTTTTTTCCCTAGTCTCACAGGCCTACAATATGATATTATGAAACATTTATCATTCATCAAATTATTTAATCAGAAGAATGTAAGAGCTCGAAGTTAATAGGGAAAAGTTATACCCCCTGGATATCGTAAAAGGTGACTAAGTAACTCCGTTGCGTCGGGAGTGTAGACCAAACCCTTCATCAGCCTCGAAAAATTAGAAAGGGTCGTGTTCCTGTATTCAATACTAAAGGGCTTTTGATAATGTTGACATAATATGGGGATAGTGGGTAGTTTAAATGTGCTCCTGCAGTAAGACGTAAGACCTTTGATAATGATGATGATGACATAAAATATGAGTATGTCAAGACTGCGGTCTAGGCCACACTCTGACTGAAGCGTGCTCGATATATGGGGCAATCAAATGGGGAGGTAATGCGTGTCAAGGCAGCGGCCTGTGAGGCCTCGCACCTAGAGGGGCGGGCTTGGGTACGTGCGCGATATATGGGTGAAAGTAGGAGTGGGAAATATGTATGTCAAGACTGCGGCCTGTGAGGCCACGCACCTAGACGGGCGGGCGGGGTACGTGCGCGATATATGGGTGAAAGTAGGAGTGGGAAATATGTGCATGTCAAGACTGCGGCCTGTGAGGCCTCGCACCTAGACGGGCGGGCGGGGTACGTGCGCGATATATGGGTGAAAATAGGAGCGGGATATATGCATGTCAAGAAGTAGGAGCGGGATATATGCATGTCAAGAAGTAGTAGCAAGATGTATGCATGTCAAGACTGCGGCCTGTGAGGCCTCGCACCTGAGCGGAGCGCGGCGGGCTCGGGCGCGTGCGCGAGCCGCACGAGCGATCGCGGGCCCTCCAGCACGAAGATCTCGTCCTTCGTCACCGACACCGATAAGATCCTGCAACAGAAGTACTGCTGAATGGAACTGTTACATTGACAGGATTCAACAACGCTCTGCTGTGTGGAACTGGAAGCGTAGTGTGAGTTTAAATGTATAAGCAGGCCTATTCATCTCCACGAGTTTACATAGAAAACAAAACACGCACGATGGCCCACCTACAGGATACTATTTGACAAGGCCTCACATACGAGCGAACATTGACTCACGCACGCGTATTCTTGTGTATGATGGAAGAAAATAAAGAAAATGGCGTACTAAATACTGTGCACTATTTAACTGCCTAAATAATAATAAAAACACAGAATGTACTTTTTTAAGTTGCCTCAAGACACTGAGAAGTAAATAAGTAGTTAATATTATTCATGATAATTCATGCTAAATCATGTATTTCCTCCGCCATTTTCCGCAGTTTGGCACCTCACGTCACATAATTTTACCGAAGTCAGCTCTATAGCTTCGGCGCAGTGCCGATCACTGACGTTTGTCAGCAAAATGGTGCTTGACTCTTGAGACAGGCTAAATTACACCATATTGTTAATGACATTGAGCATACATTTTTTTAAATACCTTCGCGAAGTAAAACTTCTGTACGTAGTACTTATTTTATTATTCTGTGGTATAAGTGACATTAATTGTATGGATTGTACAGCGCCCCTAGCGGAGAACTAAAATCTTCATAAATATATTTTTTTAACGCAGTCGATATCGAATGCGTTCGACGTAAACTCACATTACGCCCCTTGTTCCCATCTCGTTAAACTGACAGGATTAAAAAACACGCCGGCGCTGCACCACAGCGCGCTGTGTGGAATTGTTTATTATTTTCAAATTGTTTCAACACTGCAACTTCTGTGTAGTCAGGACTGACTGCCAATAAAGACCCAACTAATGAAGGAAAGGTCATTGGCTCCCAACGCAATGTGTCTAAAGGAAACAGGATAACCGACTTCTCTTAATTGTAAATAATAAAAGCACGAAAGACATACTGATAAAAACACCATTCAGATTTCTAAAGACAACAAAAAGTTTACTTCCATGAAAGGTTTCAAAGACAGCTTAAGATCTAAGTCTGAGGTACTAGCTACTATCTTTATAAGTAGTATCTTAACGTTTCCAACTCACTTTCTTAAGTCATCGACCACGGCGACAGCGGTCAGCGACCTCGGGTCCAGAATATACAGGATGTGTTCGTTGTGGGACACGAGGAAGTGTTCTCGGAACACGTAGAGCGGCCCTAAAGGTGCATTCTTTAGTGCTTTACAGCTATAGCAAGGTTTTGGAGTGGAGGCCACGTATCGGAAAGCGCAGCGTAGGACGTCCACCCACAATGTGGACGACGACCTCATAAAGCAGGAAGGCGCTGGATGCAGGTCGCCGCCAACCGGCCATTGTAGAAATCATTGGAGGAGGCCTACGTTCAGCAGTGGACGTCCTATGGCTGAAATGATGACAATGATTATAACTATGCTTACTTTCGGAGATCGTCGACCACAGCGACAGCGGTCAGCGACCTCGGGTCCAAAATATACAGGATGTGATCGTTGTGGGACACGAGGAAGTGTTCCCTGGACACGTAGTGTGGCCCTAAGGTGCATTCTTACAGCTGTAGTGCTTACTTTCGGAGATCGTCGACCACGGCGACAGCGGTCAGCGACCTCGGGTCCAGAATATACAGGATGTGTTCGTTGTGGGACACGAGGAAGTGTTCCCGGAACACGTGGAGCGGCCCGAAGTTGTATTCGCGGTCGGCATGCGAGTGCTTTCGGGCGGCCGGGTTGAGGAGCTCGGCTACCGTTAGCGGGTTTGATATTGCCTCCTGCAATGTAAGATAGTTAAGTTGACAAATCGCGGCTACTTTTATTTTTGTTCATATTCACTTGGTTATATGCTTTAAAGCTTTTGTCGCTGCGACAAGCTACTGGCGAGCTCTCGCTCGGAGTGTGCTGTTCACACTTACAGGGCTGATCTTCAACCTATTTAACGATCAAGGGCTCTTTCCTCCAAAAACAAAAATCACACCTTTTTATAGAACTTTCTAGTGGTTGCGAACAATTGTTACGTTATTGATATTGCCGCTACCATACCCCAGGCACTGACTCAGTTAAGCTATAGGCCTTTAAATGGTTTGACAATGACAGAGCGGAGAAGTGTTTTGAATAAGCAATCAGATTTCTTTATTCAGAAAACAGTCGCTTTGAAGGAGCTAAGTTAAACAATCTGGCCTAAAAAATCCGATTTGCCCCTTAGGTCAGAAGCTGGGCATGACTTGCCTCCTCCTAGCCCTAGGTACGCCCATCTTCTTCTTAGTCGGGCACTCTTGTCAGAGTGGTCGTGGTTGCGCTGACGAGGTACATGGTGAGGTAATGTCATCTCCGAGGGTAGCTCTCCTGGCGATGTGCTTCCGTTTCTGACGGTTAGAGGCGTCGCAAGTACACTGGACCATGGTGGACTCAGTTGCCTTTGTGATGGCGTCCATCCAGCGGGTTGGCGATCGACCGCGTGCTCTCCTGCCTTCCACCTGGCCCTGAACTACCAGTCTCTCCATTGAGTTCTCATTTCTAGAGACGTGACCAAAGAACTTCAGTATTCGTAAAGCCTGGTCCGTGAGCACGTAGAATTTTGTCCAATGACCCCAAGCTACCCATCCTTATCGCTCGCGCGTAATGAGGGTTTTCGCGAATGCAACATCCGCTAGATGGCGGGACGTGGATGTGGGACTGCTGCGTGATTGGTGGATTTTGACATATCTGTCAATGTCATGTCAAAAATAACCAATCATGCAGCATTTGGACCTCGCGTCTACGTATTGCCATCTGGCGGATTTTTCATTTGCGAAAACCCTCATTGTGTTGCTGTCGCGCTCGCACATTCACTGCGGGCGCCCGTTGCACAGTCGCGACAGCAATATAATTGCGCGCGAGCGATAAGGATGGGTAGCTTGGGGTCATTGGACAAAATTCTACGTGCTCACGGACCAGGCTTTAGTTGCACAGTGGACGATAGTCGGCACGCCCATGAACCGGGGCTAACGGTACCTTGAAGAGCAGCGTCTGGTGCACGGTGCCGGCGGCGTCGGCGCGCCACACGCGCAGCCCGGCGCGCGCGCAGAACGCCGCCGCCGCGCCCGCCGCGCCCCCGCGGGCGTATGAATGCTGCCAGACACCACCCAATGCGCACAGGCTGCAATACCGAAGCGAATGAGGGCTATCAGAAATCAGAAATATTTATTTGCTTTTACATGGTTTTACAAGATATTATTATTACAATTGGCATGTCCACATGTTGACTTAATTAGTCATGCAAATATTGAAAAAAAATGTAAGTACAAAAGAACAATAATAAATTACAGCGTTTGAATGTCAGGATTGTTATTACAATGGATTATATTAACATGCTTTACAATAAATAATTCTAGTCAAGAAAATTAAATAGTCTGTTAATTATAATAATTTGTCGTCAAAGTATTCTTGTACTGAGTAATAGCATTTATTCAAAAGCCAGATATGCAACTTTTTTTTAAACAACTCTAGCGGCAACAGTTTAAAAAATTCAGGCAACTTATTATATATTTTAATAGCCATACAATAGGGGCTTTGTTTAAATAATTGCAGTCTTATGCTAGGAAACATTATTCTATTTTGGTGTCTCGTTTGCTTATTTTTATATTGGCCTCTTGTAACAAAATATTGAGGGTTTTGTTTTACAAATATACACATTTGTTTTATGTACAAGCATGGTAACTATCGTTTTTATACTTAAAAGTTGGCACCCCTGGCGATTGACAGGACCTTACTCTACAGTGGCGCCATCTTGATCAGAGCAAATGCGATAGTCCTCCTACCACTTTAGCGCTCACAAGTTGGTGCTACTGTCTTCGCTACTAGCAAGTGACAGGACCTTACTCTACAGTGGCGCTAACTGGTGAGCGCTAAAACGATAGCCCTCATTGTGAACTGGTAGTGCACGTGCTATGGAGAGGGCTAAGGTCGTGTTTCTTTGCGAGATCGAATCAGAAATGAAGAGATCCGTAAACGAACTAGTCGCCGACATAGCCCGACGGATTAGCAAGCTGAGGTGGCAATGGGCAGAGCACATAGTACGCAGAACTGACGGACGATGGGGCAGCAAGGTTCTGGAGTGGAGGCCGCGTACCGGAAAACGCAGCGTGGGACGTCCACCCACAAGGTGGACCGACGACATCATAAAGGTAGCAGAGAAGCGCTGGACGCAGGCCGCTACCGATCGATCAACATGGAAAGCATTGGGGGATGCCTATGTTCAGCAGTGGACGTCCTGATTCATGATAATTCAGATTTGTTCGCGATTTTGCCGACGTGAATTTAAAACGTGAAGTGAAGAAAGTATTAATTGCTAAGGTAGGTAATCTAAAGTAAAAATATTTCTGCTTCCAACTTCAACTCCCAATCCATCTCCCTCCTTTCTCCTCTATTGGATTTGCTGGATACTAGTTTTTTTTAAATCACAACCAGGAAGCTTTTGGCTTACATCTCACCTAATGGAAAGCCGAAGGTGGAAAAAAGCTTCAGCCGGAATCCTCAACCACAGAAGAACTGAACTGATTATCTTACCTCTGCCTGAACACAACAATACTATTATACGCTGGACACGAGCAGTAGCTCACCTGCACGAGCTCGTGGCCGCGGCCACGAGTGTGACGTCACTGACCTCTTGCGCTCCTTCTTGCCGAGCTGGCTGACGCGCCAGCGAGCGTCGGCACGGCAGTAGCTCCCTGCACGAGTGTGACGTCACTGACCTCCTGCGCTCCTTCTTGCCGAGCTGGCTGACGCGCCAGCGAGCGTCGGCACGGCAGTAGCTCCCTGCACGAGTGTGACGTCACTGACCTCCTGCGCTCCTTCTTGCCGAGCTGGCTGACGCGCCAGCGAGCGTCGGCACGGCAGTAGCTCCCTGCACGAGTGTGACGTCACTGACCTCCTGCGCTCCTTCTTGCCGAGCTGGCTGACGCGCCAGCGAGCGTCGGCGCGCGCGCACACGATGCTGCGGTACACGCTGGAAACGAGCAGCGCACTCTGGCAGTAGCTCATCTGCACGATCTCGTGGCCTTCGTTCACGATCTCTTGCGACTTGCACAGGTGCTGCACAAGAGAACAACAATGTTAGGCGGGTTTTAAGGCTTGGGCAGACCAAACGCGGGGCAGTAGCAGCGCAGTTTGAATGCGGGCCCGCGCAAGTTGTAATACAAGAAACTCTTTGAAGTGTGTCACACCAAATTTGAACGCGGGCCGGCGCTCCAACCGCGCCGCACTGCAATTGCCGAACGACAAACGAGGCGGCGCGGGTGCGGGACAGAAGCGGCTTCTGACCCGCGTTTGGTCTGTGATTCCCTTTAGTGTCATGCGGACTGTTAGTGCGAACCCGCTCCTCACGGCCAATCTGTATGAACTTCTAAGGAGCGTTTTAGAGTAATGCGATCCGGAGGAACCGCTCCGCTCCCTAGCAGTTCATACAGATCGGCTGTGCGGAGCAATCCGCACTGACAGTCCGCGTGACACTAAAACCCGCCTTACGTTTAGACCTAAGCCTAGGCGCCAACTGCAAACTTTTTGTCGGCCGATAGTTTAGTCGGACAGTTAATAGTTAGTATGAGTATTGAGTATGTACGGAAGTGCGCACATTACACCGATTGATTCTTTATACGATTTAGAATCGAGCCCGACTAAAAATTGGTGGACTGCGCCTAGGCTAACAGTAATGACTCATTTTCGTTAGTCGATAAGTCGGTCGACGTGAGCGTTCTAGGTCAGTAATCAGATTTCTATAAACAAGGTACCCGGCTCTTAGACATTAGGATTCCCGCGCCTCGAAGATGAGATGACTAAAGATAATTCTTGTCCCAGTCCTTAATATACTGATCAATGTCAATACTATGTTACAAAAGCTTACTTCTTAATTAGTTTACGACCAGGAAATCGCCGTAATTACTAAAATACAAAGTACCTATTTATTAATTATTTTCAATGATGAGTCATATCAGTTCCGTTTATAAATAAAACGTTATCAATATGTAACGGAAAAAAGCTTATACTTAACGGACAAAACTCCGATATAGGCCGAGACACACCCCAATAAATATTTGTGCTAAGTTTTTATCATACTATCGCCAGGTTGTTCCCTGGTATTGGTACAGGCTGGTCCCTATTGGTTGCCAGGTAAAGCATACGCTTTATCTGGGAATCAATAGTTTGTGTACACGTGCAGTATAATATTGTAAGTCTACAAACATAATATCTGCATTAATTTGTATGTAATATACCACTTCACGGTCGCTGTGTTCGACCGCAAGAGAATAAATAGGCTAAGGCCTTGTTCAGACGAGCGATAACCGCGCGGTTTAGGTGGTTCTCATTGGCACTGAGGCGGTAACCGTGCCGTTACGGTTTGATGCAAATTTATGAGAACTGTCCAGCTACCGCGCGATTATCGCTGTGTCCAAACCAGACCTATTGATATGTTTAGTCATCATTGCATTGCAAGGAAGTCGAACCTTAACCACAGAATAATAATAAGTCCTTAACTTCGAACTCCTCCTATATTCTTCTGATTAATTTTGTTGCGGGTTCAATGACAGACTTTCTCCCGGGACAAACTTGACCTTCACTGGTTGGGTTTTTATTGGCTGTCAAGCTGTAGATCCTGGCTACACAGGAGCTGCAGCGGTGGGAACGAGAGGTGGGAATAGTCCCGTAAATATCATACACACTTACCATATAAAAGTCTATCTCCGTCATGATGATGACTCCATTCTTGTCTCCGGAGAACAGCCGCATGCCGTTCTTGGACCATTCTATGGCTGTTATTTTACTCTTATGGAGGTCGCCTATTGTATACCTAGAAAAAAAGTATTGGTCATAATGTAACTCATTAATAAACGTCGCGTTAAGACCCGTGTCTTTCTATTTTAGTTGAAATGGAACGCGAGTTTAAAATCTTATAAAGTATTGGTCTGTAATAAATTAGTGACCCCGATCCACGAATACCATGGCCTGATAGTTTGCGTAATAGAGTATAGAGTACCTACAGAAATGCGTGTTCAAATCCTGTAAGAGACTAATTGACCCCCGGAGTATAGAATATGGAGTAAAAGATAGAATATACGTTTCCGAAGTGGCCTTAAGTAAGTGCACCTTAATACAGAAGCAGAGGTTTATCTCGTACATTTATGTAAGCAGTGATTGTACTGGTAATCAGAGCATGAAGATAGAAAACACATTGCTGCATAAAACTTATAATACTAGTGCAGTTGCTTGTGCCTTAGTTTCCATTACGAAATACAATGGCGTAGTTGTATCTTATTTGATCGTTTGTTGCCATTTCATTAAAAAAAAATATTTAAAAACGGGGACAGGGGCCCGTAGACCGGAGCTACGCCCCTAAGGAAACAATTTAGCTTAATGGCGCAAGTACACTATGCTGGAAATTGGCCGAGACGTAATAGTGTGATAGTGTGAACACCATCTCGGTTACTTTCTCCTTCACCCAACGTGCGTCGCCCATACTTCGATGTGCGATCTAGCGCTTCGTCTTGGTCAATTTTACCGCATAGTATACTTGCGCCATTATGTTTTTGCTCAAGAAGTGATTGTGCTGTGACGAAACAAACATAGATAAGTTGACTTGATGTTATGCTGACAGATAAAACAGTTAATTTGATACCATTATCTTTCTTGTTTGGTTTAATCTCTTGGAATACGTAATTATTTTTGTATGTTGGTAATAGGTAGGCTTAAAATATAGATAAGAAAAGGATAAATGTATAATGTAGGCAGGCTAGGATAAAAGTTTTTACAGAATGATAGCGATTTTTGTATTTATCCTGTTGAAGTAAACATACGTATCGGGAAAAAAGAGAGTATTTTAGGGTAAAATTTACCCTTTTCTTCCCCTTTACTACCGATCTCTTCAGTAGTACGATGGGAGGATTTTTTTACTAGGCACATTAACAAAAAAATTGTAGTGCTACGGGTTAAAAGATAAAATACGCCTTGCGAAGGTCATCGCTCCCAATAGCGAGGCTCGTCGACCGATCCCTCTGCACCGACTATTCACAGAGCCTCGACCTTTACGTTATCGCGGGAATGTCCCAACGCTCAACTCATAAATTACGCATTAGTCACCCACCTCTTAGAAACTAACGACATTTTTGGCGGGAATGTTTTGCTCGTGTCTTTGAAATTATATTGTTTGAACACTTCCGTGAGTCAGCATATTTTTTTAACTACTTGCGGAAGCTGTTTGTAATGTTTAAATTCGGATATAAATGGCTCTATACTTTTGAATTTTCCTGCATATTTTAATAAGATACTGCATTTACAAATAAATATTTTAAAAAATTAAGCAGAAATGTAGGCAACTTATAAACGAAAATAGAAAATAAAAAAGATATAAAAAAATAAATTAATATAAACATGGACAAATAAAATTAAAATGAAATTGGTGATGAATAATTTTTGTCATCTATGTATTTCTGTAAAACTCACCTCTCTACTTTAGGTTCCACTTTGGGCTTGAAGTCATCCGGTATGTTTTCAGGGTGCTCCTTAGGGATCTGGAACACGGTGACTTGGCCGGCTGCATTTCCAGCTCCCACCATGTAGTCCACCGTGCTGACAATCTTCACATATGTTATGGGACTGGTTGAAGCCTGGTTAACAAATAAAGAACCTTATTTATATTGTTATTAGATATGTTTATTGCATGCCTTGATAGAAAATGTTTCATCAAACACTTTTTTGGATTAAATTGAGGTCTTTAAATCTAATTAAAATTCATTTTAAAATATTTAAACTTAAAAATAATTCAATTAGTCAAAACATTTTTTGTCTTTTCAGCAATTAACTGTAAAGTGGTAATGTGCTACAACATGGTATGTTTATAAATAGTATGAGGAAATTGAATATAATAATTATTATGCAATGAATTCTAAAGGAAAAATATGACATATACACATCTGATGTTAAGTGGGATGCAGTCTAGGATGGTACATAAAATATATGCCCTGTAAGTGCCTATTCACTCTCGCCTTGAAATTTTCTTTCTTTCTTTTACACAGCTCAGATAAATAAACCCATTAAAAAGAAAATAAAACTCCAATTCAATTCTACTTAAATCTTTTACTGGGTTAATACCAAGTATACAATAACTATTTAATTGTAACATTAATCAGAATTTTATAGGATTTTGATAGTAAGTAACACCTCACTTAATACACTTACTGAGAAAAAATATGGCTATAAAAATGTGTTTATTACAACTAGTAAATCTAAAATGCCTGATGCTTTGTGAAGGATTGTAGTTTCAAGTCATTATTCAGAAAGATAATAGTAGAAATGAAGTTAATTGCTTTAGCAGTAAAACTTTATTATTGAGAGTTGTTATCTAGTTTTTTATTTGATTAAATATTTTAATTAAAAAAGGTCTGGTTGAGGAATTATAAGGGTGTTCTCAATAAATATTTTTATGTAAAATTTATGATTTTAATTTCCAACTAGAATAATGGAAGCTTAATAAATAAGTAGGTACAAACATTTGATAAAATTTCTATGTGGCACTCAAGATGTTTACTTAGGAAAAACATTTTTATCAGAACAAATTAGATTTGCTACTTTGGTAGGTGGTGTTCCAACATTGTAAAGGACTATATCGCTATAAACAACTGAGAGCGAAAGTGTTACAAGGTGAACGAAAGTACCAGCTGCTTGACCACAAATGGACCCTATTTACAAGTTAAAAGATAAATCTTACCTCGCATCTTAGCCTTTGGATGTTGCCCTTCTTTCTATCGTACCAATATACCAGTCCCACGTTCGTCCCGAGAGCAATATATTCACTCACAGCGTCCACGCAAGTCAAACATAACTCATTGGAAAATAACCCATTCTGTATGCGAGGCGGAATTAAATTCAAAATATGGGAACAAGGTGTCCACTCTCTAACAAATCCTTCCTCTGCGCCACCCGCCACTTCCATTGTTGATGTCTGTATTTTAATGCAACATTGATAACACGCTTAGAAATCAACTGTTATTATTTTAGGAATAAATTATCTCTTCAAATAAATATTAATTTTGAAAAATGAAAGTTCTCCTTTTTTGTACACTTGCACCAAATTTATGTCAACCAAATGTCATTGTCAATTCGTCAGTTATGCCAACCTCATAAATTAAAATACATGTTTTTTTTAATCCTGGTACCATACCATGCAAGTTTAGTCATCGCATGAAAAACATAGCATGCATAAATTATAAAATTTGCTTTATAGGTCGTGCAATAAACGAAAGTTGAAGCGAACACAGAAGAATAACAAAAACGGATGTACTATAAACGAACATGCTAATCGTTCAGAGTCAGCATGACAAGCGTTTATAGATGCAATCAATAAATATTTGCTTTCGTTAATCATTTCGTTAAAATAGTTTTTAATCCTAGGATAAAAAAAACAACTCGGTCGGAGCTTCGTACCTACCGATAAAAACCGGTTTTTAACATTACACCAACTACACTATTTGACAATGATACCACCATAATAAAAAAAATCCATGACGTAGCAAATGTACACTTGTCATTTTTCTGTCATTAGATTTCTTGAGATCGGGGCCGAAAGTGCTTTTTGTGATAAATTAGTTAGATATCTCATAAAATATGGCAGATACCGCTACTGAAATACCTTTAGATATTGGGGATAGTGTGCGGGAGTCTGTTAAAAATGCTACAGAGAAGGTGCCCTCGAGTATCGAGGGTATCGCTATTGCCTACCTGAGTTTAGTTGTTATGGCTATTTTGCCGATATTTTTCGGGTCTTTTAGATCAGTGAAATACCTGAAGGAGCAAAAGGTAAGTCTTTCATTCAGTTTTTTGTGTAGTTGGTTAGAAATTATTGGGGTACGAGAATAGTGTGCCGCGGAAGTTTAGGCCCAATACCAGTAGGACACGTCTTAGCATCGTGGCATAGCATATTGTTCAAATTATGCCCATTAGACATGCGCTGGTGTTTGATAACCTGCGCGTCGATTGGCACCAACCTGTTTTTTTTTAATTATCTGTAATTTACCATGATGTACCTAACACTGATAACTATGTATAGCCTGTAAATGCATACTCTACTTACATGAAATACATCTAGTTGATGTTTTCAAAGTATAATAAGTAGGCTTATCTTAAAAATAATACATAAATGTGTTTATACTATATGACTATGTCAGGGGGTTGGGAACCCTTTCTAATAAGAATTTTTTATGAAAACAAATTTAATCAGTCAAAAGTACTCCTTATTAGTCCTTATAGCAATATAAGCATTTAAATAATACCTATCAAAGCTTTTATTTGTCTACAGTTTACTGTAGTAAATAAATACTTATTACCTACTGTATAAAAATATAGTGTGAGATCTTTAACTAATAATGTCATTGAGGAAAAAGGTAAAATGAATTCACTTGGGTCTGAGTGAGCAGGCATTAAATAATAATAATATTATTCAGTTGAAACAATTGAGAAGTAGGTACCTGTATCTAGTTATTCTAGATTCATACTTCTCTGCAATTAGACACTGGCCAAGTCTTTTTATTTCCATTACTCAGGCAGTTCCCTTTAGATGCTGCAACAACTTGTCACAGTTAAAGGATGCCTCTGCTTCTAAGGCCTGGTTTCCACCAAGGCAGAGCAGAGAAGTGTTTTGAATAACCAATCAGATTTCATTATTTCTACTTCTCCACTAGCAGTAAAATTCTATAGAAAAATTAATTCCCCCACACTTCTCCGCTCTGCCCCGCTCCGCCTTGGTGAAACCTGGGCCTAATACAAGATGTTGGTCAATAGATAGGTCCGGTCACCGAGCAGATAGAATTTCGTTCAATGACCCCAAGCTATCCATCCTTATCGCTCGCGCGTAATTATAATGCTGTCGTGCCTGTAGGACGGGTGACCTACGAGTACAATGAGTATGCGAGCGTGACAGCAATAATAGGCTCGAAGAAATTCTATCTGCTCGACGACCGGACTTTACAACTGTTGTTGTCCTCAGGAATCCGGCGAGAAGCATGAGACGATGTCGAACAAGGACGCGCTGATGTTCCCGCTGATCGCGTCGTGCGCGCTGTTCGCGCTGTACATCTTCTTCCAGTTCTTCTCCAAGGAATACATCAACCTGCTGCTCACCGGCTACTTCTTCTTCCTCGGCGTCCTAGCCTTGAGCCATCTTCTGAGGTACACATCAGACTTACATTCATCATCATCATTTCAGCCACAGGACGTCCACCCAGTGGCGTAACTAATACAAATACTTAATTTATAGCATATAGTATATAGCAAACACACCGTTTTCGCATACACCTTCAAATACAATTGGTAACAATTAAATCGGTGAACATTATATTGCTTTGTCTGCGGGTCCCACACTAGGAATAACCTGTGTCGTGGGCACCCAGTGGTGCTATGTAACCAGTACAGCGACAGATATAACTNCAATTAACTGTTACTAAGTGTAATAGAAAATGAAGTATATACCTTCATTAATGTGCACCATATTTCATAATACGCAATAATGCACTGTAAGTCAAACCAAACGGATAACTGTGCGCGAAAACAGGAAGTAAATAGAACAAATCAGTACAAATTAGCGAGAGCACTGCATTTACAAGCTGGTATCTCAGTAATGACTTACCTTTAAACGTTCATATTCAACAAGAATATGAGGTAAGTACCCCCAATCACATCGCGATGATTTGTTTTAACTACCCTCACAATGTCAAATTTGAATATTATCCACCTAATATCTCATTATTGATCACCGTGCGTCCTGTGGCTGAAATGATGATGATGATGAGCATGGCATGTTTATTTCAAATCCATAACCTTTTTACACAGGACCCAGCTGGAGTGATAGCCAGTTTCATCAGAGGATGTGAAGAGCAGCCGGACTATTTGAACCACGAAGTTGTTGATTCTGACTTCCGAACGTTCTATAGAGCTTGCACCTCTGACTTGTGTAATACTGGTGGGTAAATGGTTAAATTCTATTTTAAGTAAGAATCAGAATTACTAATTATAGTATTAACCTTCTAAAACCAAGCCAACGTCTCGCCGCATTTCTGCCGTCGACAGTTTCATTTTGTATTATGCTACAAAGCAGGCTAATGACGAATACTTACGCGCGCCTATGAAGCTTTACTTAGCATTGCACAGTAGGAAGATTGTTAATTATTGAATTTCAATATTTTTTCATTCAGGTAATGGCGTCCAATCAGTAGTCGGGGGTGTTTTATCACCACGTCCCGAGTACAACGGCGAGAATCTTTTGGTCCCAGGAACCGGAAGTGGTAACCACGCGGGAAAAGTCCAAGTCACGTCCCTAATGATTTTGATATTTGGTGTAATCATAGCAAATGTATTTTAATTATAAGTAATGTTAACTTGAAAACGGGATATTAATTTATTTGTTTAAACCTTTTATCATAAAATAACCAGGTCCATTAGTTGGTTTTTAGTGTGTACCTATAGTTATACCTATACCTAACTACCTGTAGCGTGTGTATTTCTTAACCCGACTATCTAAACTAGTTTTGAACAGTGCCGAACTTATGTAAAGTAGCCAACTTACTTATGTAAAGATATGATTACTATTAGTGTACCTAAGTATTTATTGGTTTACGAGGCTTGAGATGTGCAGTGCACCCCATGAGTCCCCATGCCATGGTTCAAACTCCAATGTAATGTATTTCTCCTTGTTATGGGTTTACCTACAGCTACATCAGCTAGCAGCGTACTTAAAACTTTGAAATATTACCCCTATGATTGTATGGGGGAAATTATTACACGCTGACTGCATGTGTTGCACAAGTCGTCATAGAAACGCCAATGAAGCGAAAAAAACAATAAAAAAACCCAATCACACCCAATGGCGAAGCCTTTGAACACAGTTTGCTTTTGTGAAAATTTGTCACAGACTGATATCATTGGCAGAATGATAAGAATCTCATCGTAATCTTATCATTAAAAAAGTAATTGGTATTTTGACAGTTCTCGTAAGGTAAAACGTCACTTCAGAGACGTAATAGGTTATGTTGTCTATATTTAGTAAAAATGTAATTTAGTAACATAAATTAGTCGTTTTTGTGACTTTAAATCAGTCATGACAACTTCACCCACAAAAACCAAGCAAAAGTTGTCCCTGCGGAAGCGGCTCTTCGTGAAAAAGTCACCGAAAGTGGGATGCTATGTAGATACTGATTCCAACGACGAATTCAACCAGTCTTCTTCAAGACCTATCTCTCCAGCAGATCCGTTTATCGCGCAAAGTGCTCAGAATGCTGATTCGAGTGTTGACCTGTACGACAACCAGAGGAGTTCAACATCAGAACTCCACAGCAATAACTGTAGTCAGAAGAGTGATCACATCCACAACGAGGATGAAAGTAATCCAAAATGCTGTCGAACCTTCTTCAGAAGGTCCCGTCCAAAGAGCCTCGTCGAGGGACACCCGTCCAAAGGCGAAACTGTGTCAAAACCGTGTAGTCCAGTGAATAACTCTAGCAATAGTGTCAGTGACCACACACTCTCGTGTACTAAGTCTGAAGAAATACCTAAAGCCACAATAAAGTTCCCCAAAGATGACAACAGAAAGTGTTTTGAGCATTCAGGGTCATTTGAAGGTATCAAGTCAAAGAATAAGTTATTTGTTAAGAGGTTGTCAGCCGATCACCTGATTTCTACTGAAAGTAAGCCACTCTATCGTTCTTCATCGCCAGAAAGCGACAGAAGTAGTTCTTTAGACAGAAAAAGGAGGTAAGTTTATAGTATAATTTGTAAGGCTATGGGTTCATGCTTGGTTTGGGGCAAATCAAACACATAATACATTCATGTTAACTGTACAAGGATATTTAAAAATCAGTAAATAATATGACTGTTATGGGAATTGTTATGTATTAAAACCAAGGGTACAAGAAAGNGATATAACTGTTATGTATTAAAACCAAGGGTATGAGAATTATTAATTTTATAAACAACTATGTAGGTAGTTTGGTATTTCTATTAATAAATTAGTTTTGCTTCAAACCTCAATGTGGTTGTTTACTTTATTGGCGACTTGGAAAATTAATTGTAATTGTGTGGACAATGGCATCTAATATTGCAAATATTGTGTTTCCTGGACAGTTTAATCCTAAAAGTGACAAGTGGCGTGATTATAAAGAACAGTTATTGTGTGCTTTGGANAATTGTGTGGACAATGGCATCTAATATTGCAAATATTGTGTTTCCTGGACAGTTTAATCCTAAAAGTGACAAGTGGCGTGATTATAAAGAACAGTTATTGTGTGCTTTGGACGCGGCAGGTTATGACGAAAAGAATTGTGACAAAGCTCGTTCTTTGTTCCTTTCTCAGTGTGGAAAAGACACTTATGCATTAATTGCGTCATTGTTAGTGCCCAATAGACCAACTAGTGTGACTTTTACGGAAATTTTACGTGTTTTGGACCAATTTTATGAACCGGAAATTAACGAAATTTTGCAAGCGGGAAAATTCCACAAACGTGTACAATTACAAAGTGAAAGCGTGCAGGACTATGTAGCAGCGATAAGCCTACTTGCCGCCAGCTGCAATTTTGTTGACTTAAAACGTCAATTGAGGGACAGATTAGTGCTCGGTATACGTGATGATCGCCTGAGAAGAGATTTACTTAAGACGAAGCAAATTACGTATGAGATTGCCTTACAGACGTGTCTTAATTACCAGGCGACATTTCCTGATTTATACCCGGAGAACAGTACTGAAATGAAGCAAACTCCGTCCAATGTTTCCGAACCTATGGAGATTGGTAGAATAAAGTCCAACGAGTGTGTGCATTGTGCCCGTATACACAAGGCTGGAGAACGATGCCCCTTCACTAAAGCGAAATGTTTTTATTGCAAGCGCTTTGGACACATATCGCCTGCTTGTGATAAGAAAGCAAGGAAGGTGCATCAAGTTAAGGAGGAAGGTGTAAGCGATAAGACTTGGGAACCGTCAGAGAATATGAATGGTGTCTACAATTGCACAGAAAATTATCAGCCACAAATAACAGCTGAGCTGACCATCAATGGGGCGCATCTGAAAATGGAGATTGACTCTGGCGCCTCTAGGACGATTNACCTGGAAATCGGGCTTTCGAAATTCGCTGTTTTCGTAGGCAAAAATCCAATTTGAACGAGATTTTGTCAATAGACATTCCGTAAAAACGTATGATAATTACGATGATATAAGTCAAAAGAAGCTATAACAATAAATTATATGACTAAAATCATTTCGAAATCTGCCAAATTCTCGATTTCTGCATGAAAAATGTGACAACGCTCTTAACATTATTATGATGATTACATTCTATTGGCATAGCAAAAAAACTTAAGTTAGTATGTAAGTTTTTTTTGCATGATAGCATAGTGGCTCCGAGAACCGTCTTGAACGTGGTGGGTCCCCGGTTCAATACCTGGTTGGGTCAATTTATAAAATATTGTTTTCTAAATTGGTTAGTGTGCGCTTGAAGACATTTTATAGTAAAAATCTGGTTGCATTACTTACTTACTTTGTATTTCGGTAAACGTGATGTTTTGTCAGGCACAAATTTATTTCTCCATTGCTCACCATCGAATGTGAGATATTGGGCATTCTAACGAACGAGTGAGGTCACCTCTGTGACCGAACGAATGTGAGTTAGAATGCCCAATATCTCACTACTCCCGACTGTACGAGATTAGAATGGCTCTCAAACAGCTGAAAAACAACAAGGCACAGGGTGATGACTGATGATGGAATCACGGCTGAGCTTCTGAAAGGAACGCCGCGGTACTAAAGGCTCTTCAGAAGCTGTTTTATTCCGTCCTCCTCGAGGGAAAAACGCCTACGGCATGGCACAGAAGTGTGGTGATACTCTTCGTCAAAAAAGGCGACAAAACGTTGTTGAAGGATTATAGACCCATCTCACTTCTGACCCATGTCTACAAGCTGTTTTCGAGAGTCATCACGAATCGTCTCATTCATGATCTGTCAACGTCGTTATTTCGTTTCGAAGAACAGGCTAAGGTCATAGATCATACTGCCTCGTCTCATCTCTTTATTTTTTCTTGAGTAGAGTTTTAAAATGCATAAATTTATTATTCAAATCATTTTATGTTAAAGGTACCAACGCAACGATAAGAACGGATTTTTTATTTTTAAATAAAGCTTAATTTTA